TGTCCCACCCCCGTCCTGTTTGTCTAAAGTTTTTCTGCTTGCTTCACACTTTGCTTGTTTTTTTATAAACTCGTTCTGCTTTTATCGTGCCTGTTCCACATTTGTCTTGCTTATCTCACACTAGTCGTACAGTTTTCTTGTTTGCCCCGTACATTTTTTGCTTGTCTTGAACTTTTCCCGCTCGACACACACTTGCCTTGCTTTTCTCACAGTTGTCGTGCATGTTCTCCACACTTGTCTTTATTGAATTAAACTTGTAGTGCTTGTCTCACAGTTGCTCACAAATTTTCTAATCGAATAAAACTTGTATTAGTTATTTCACCATATTTGGCATGTCTTTACCACAATTGTATTGCTTGTCCAACCCCATCCTGTTAGTCTACGGTTTTCTGCTTGCTTCACACTTGTCTTGTTTTTTCAAACTTTCGTGCTTGTCCCATATTTGTCTTGCTTATCTCACACTTGTTGTACTTGTATTACAATTTTCTTGTTTGCCCCATACATTTCTTGCTTGTCTCAAACTTTTCCCGCTTGACACACACTTACCTTGCTTCTCTCACACTTGTCCTGAATGTCCCACACTTGTCTTTATTGAATCAAACTTGTAGTGCTTGTCTCACACCAGCTCCCGTTCCCCTCAACGCATTTGTCTGCTTCTACCGCACTTGTATTGCTTGTCCCACCATTGTCCTGCTTATTTCAAACTTGTCCTGCTTATCTCAAACTTGCCTTGCTTGCAACACACTTGACGTGTTTTTCTATGTAAATATGCCACTTTTCCCACAATTGTTCAGATAGTCCAAAACTTGTGCTGCTTGTCTCAAACTTGTCCTACGCTAGACCAACAGTAGTTCAGCCTGTCTCACACTTGTCCTGAGTGTACCACTCTGACTGGCGTTTACCACACTTGTACTGCTTGTCCAGAACTCCTCCTCTTTGTGCCACACTTTCTCTGCTTTTTTCAACCATGTTTTGCTAGACTGACACTTGTCGTGTTTGTTCCACAATTGTCCTGGTTGTCCTCACTTGCCCTGTCGGCTTGTCCCACACTTGTATTGCTTGCACCTGTTCTGCTTGACCCATATTTGTCAGTCTTGACCCGCTTGTCTCTTGTTCGTCGTTATCATATCCCACTGCTCTGCTTGTCCGACATGTTAATTGTTTATTCCACACATGTATTGTTTGTCCAACATTTGTCCCGCTTATCTAATTTTTGTCAATCTTCTCTCACGCTTGTCCTCCTCGCATCACACTTAACATACATTTCCCATACTTATCCTACTTTTCCGACACATGTTTTAATAATCACAAAATTATCTTGCTTGTCTCAAACCTGCCTTTCTTGTCTCACGTACCCTCACACTTGTACTGCTTGTCTCACAATTGTTCTCCGTGTCCCAGTTTCGTCCTGATTGAAGCAAACTTGTTCTGCTTGTCTAACGCTGATTGTCTTACACTAGTCCTTCTTGTCTCTTAGTCGTCTTTATTGTATCAAACGTGACTTCTTCTCTTCAACTTGCTCAGCATGTCCCACATTTAAATTGCTTATCCCACACCTATATTGCTTGTTCCACACATTACCTATTTATCTAATTTTTAGCCTGCTTATCTCACACTTGACCTATATTTCCCATGCCTATCTTGCTATTCTTAAACATGTTTTGATACTAATCTCAAACTTGTCATTCCTGTCGTTCGCTTCTCTCGCACTTGCTATGCTTGTCCCACAAAACATTTGTCTTTCTTCTAACGCACTTGTCTTGCTCTCCCCACACTTGCCCTAATATTCCCACGCTTGTTCTGCTTTGAACACTATGATAGTATATGCCGACGCAGCAGCAGTGAAAATGCAATCTGCAAATTTAAAGATACATACAGGTGTTTGCCCGTCCAACTCTTGTCCTGCTTGTTCCACAATTGTGCTTCTTGTCTCATACTAGTCCTGCCTTTCTCGGGTTGTCCTGGTTATCTAACACTTTGTTTGATTCAAAATTTCTTTTTATGATTTTCCTATGCTCTCCTCACATTTGTCTTGTTTCCAACACACTTGTATTGCTTGTCCCACACTCCTTCAGTTTGTCCAACATATTCCCAAACTTGTCCTGCTTCTTTCAAACTTGCTCATCTTGTCTGTTTCACACTTGTCCCACACATGTCTTGCTTATTTCACAGTTGTCTTGCATGTCTCCTAATGGTATTGACTGAATCAAACTTGTGATGCTTTTCTCACACCTGTTTTGCGTGCTCTATATTTGTCGTGCATATACCACACTCAAATTTCCTATTCAAACCTGTCCTGCTTGCATCATCTTTGTTCTTCTTTTTTTGCCGTTATACTAATTGAAGCAAACTTGTTTTGCTTTTCTCACACTTGCTCTACTTGTCCCACATTTAATTAGCTTTTAGCAAACTTGTATTGCTGCCCGACATTTTTCTTGCTTGCATCACACTTGACCTGTTTGTCCTCTGCTCAACTTGCTTCTCCCACGGTTGTTCAGATAGTCCTAAACTTGTGCTACTTGTCTCAAACTTACTCATCTTGTCTGTTTCACACTTGTCCCACACATGTCTTGCTTATTTTACAGTTGTCTTGCATGTCTCCTACTTGTATCGACTGAATTAAACTTGTGATGCTTTTCTCACACTTGCTCTGCGTGCTCTATATTTGTCGTGCATATACCACACTCGAATCCCCTATTCAAACCTGTCCTGCTTGCATCATCTTTGTTCTGCTTTTCTCGCACTTATACTGAATGAAGCAAACTTGTTTTGTCTTTCTCACACTTCCTCTACTTGTCCCACATTTAATTAGCTTTTAACAAATTTGTATTGCTTGCCCGACATTTTTCTTGCTTTCATCGCACTTGATCTGTTTGTCCTCTACATATCTTGCTCTTCCCACGGTTGTTCAGATAGTCCCAAACGGGTGCTACCTGTCTCAAACTCTTCCGTATTGCCCCACGCGTGGCCCACATTGTTCCTTCTTATCTCACACTTGTCCTGTGTGTCCCACTTTTATTGTGGTTGAATCAAATTATCCAAGGTTTTGTTTACTCTCGTAATTTTATAATCAGTTTTTATTAATATGTTTTAATCAACCATTTTATCGCCTTTTTGCTGATTATGGAGTCGAAATAAACTTATCTTATCTATCTTATCAAATTTTCCTACTTGTCTCGCACTTGCTTTGATTGTCCCACATTTGTTTTGCTTGTTCAACACTTGTCTTGCTTATTTGAAACCCGTTCTGATTGAATTAGACTTGGCTTAATGTTCCCACACATGCTCTACTTTTCCGATAATTGACCGACTTTTACCACAATTGTACTGCAGTTACCACACTCCTCGTTGTCCCACACGTTTCCTGCTTGCTTCTCACATGTATTGCTTGAATTACATATTTCGTGGTGGTTACACGGTTGTCCTGATTGTCCAACACTTATCCTGCTTGTTTGATCCACATTTGTGCCTCTTGCACTTGTTCTGCCTGTCCTATATTTGTCTCAAACTTCATCCGCGTGTCTCTTAGTCCTCTTTGGTATATCACACTTTTCTTGCTTGTCTCCAACCTGCTCCCCTTGTCCGACATTTGAATTGCTTATCCCACACTTTTATTACGGACTGCTATGGATATGAACTCCAAAATAAGTACATCAGGGTAATATAATGTTAGAATAACTCAGAATGAAATGTATTCATGCCAGTGCGACCCGTGTTAATCATACATGCACTAGAAAGGATTTTCTCCAGCAGTTCCTTATTCTTAGAAACAATCTGTTCCATCTCACGTTTAGGTTGTATTTTTATTCTAGTTACACGAACTGATTTTGGCCGGCAGGCTATTGTTTTGTCCTTGTGTCAATTAATTTTTTTGTTATTACGTGATGAATGCGCGTAGTAATCAATGAGGTTGTGAAATATCATTTCTAGCAAATCAATCATTTGAATTGACCAATCTAAGTGCCTGGTATTAGAACCTCTACCCATAAAACAAGAATAAAAATAGGAACATATGTTAAAATAAGGACAAACCTTTGAATAAGTACGTTATGACAGCCTTGTTTGTATTGCTTGTCCAACATTTGTCCTGCCTTTCTCACGCTTTTCCTCTTGGCATCACACTTGAACTATATTTCCCATGCTTATCTTGCTTTTTCCACACATGTTCTGATAGTCACAAACTTGTCCTGATTGTCTTTCTCGTCTCACGCTATTCTCACATTTGTACTGCTTCTCTCACAATTGTCCTGCGTGTCCCAGTCTAGTCATGCTGGGAGCAAGCTTGCCCAGCTTGTCTCACACTTTCATCTACCTGTCCCAAATTTTACTTGCTTTTAACACGCTTGTATTGCTTGTGCCACAATTGGGCTTCTAGCCTTACACTTGTCCTGCTTTTTTCAATCTTGTGGTGGTCAGCTCACACTTTTCTTAATCCAGAAGTTCTTACTCATTACATTTTTCTTGCTTTTACCACACTCATTCTATTTGTCCAACACATTACCAAACGTGTAATGCTTGTCTAAAACTTGCCCATCTTGTCCTGTTTTTCACTTGTCCAGGTTTGCCCACACTCGTACTTACATGCCCAATCCTGCTTAGTAGAAACCTCTCTTGATCGAATAAAACTCGTCTTGATTTTCTCACACATGTTCAGCTTGTCCCATATTTGACTGATTTGTTTGTCTAACAGCTGTCCTGCTCTTATCATACTTGCCACACATTTGTCCTGTTTATCTAACAATTGTCCAGCTTATCTCTCACTTGTCCTACTTGTATCTCTTGTCAGGCCCGGTTAGTACTTAGCATGGGTAACCCGGGTGGGAATACCGGGTGTCGTAGGCTTTTCTTATTTGCAAACCATGAAAATGATTTCAGCACTTGATTATTTCAATCCACGTCAGTATTTTTAGTCAGAAATTACAAGACCTTTAAAATGTAACTTGAATTCGGTGAGACTGTGGTGACTTCCTGATCAAAATTTGAATAAATACTTGTTAAGACACCTCTATCGATATTTATTGTAGATTTCGAACAATATGACAAATTTCAATCATTTCTTACAATCTCTTTTTAAAGGTGGCAGTATATATACTTTTAAATCAGCGCTCCCCCAAGTATATGTACTAAGATGGCGCACAACCTGAACCCTAACCTGGTACACATATTATGTTCAGGTTGTGTGTCATCTTGGTACATACCCTTCGGGAGCTCCTTTAAATCAACGATAGAAATATTAAAATAAAAACATAATATCGTTAGCCTGCGTCCAATTCCCCTATCTAAATAAGTCAGTCAGTATCATAAAGTATCAGAAATTTTTTGAAACTTTTTATTGGAATAAATAAGGTTTTATCCAGGTCATAACAACACCAATTGTATATCAATGGTGATATAATTTAATTTCGTTAATTTCAAAGTCTGCTTGTTTTAGATTGGGTTGAAATGGTCAACATTTAATTGGTTGCTACGAAATTCATGGTTAGTAATTACGGATTAATATTTAGTCATTCGCGATTTTAATTCGAATTTTGATTAATTTTCGGTCCCACTTCAACACAACCCATAACCTTATATCTTGACAACAAATGCATTTCTCTGATTTTCACAAAATTGTCCAATATTAGAAGTCACAAAACTGGAAAATAAACAAATGATAAGTAACATGTATGAGATTGTATATCAAACAGAGATAAATGGACTTTTGAAGCAAAAAGCCAAAGTTGTCTAAGGAAAATGAGTAGCGATATTTACATAATATTTAACTTTTCTGCTCTGTATGACAGAAAGTTTGCCATGGTTTAATCGTAGCCGAGGTCCCATGGGGTCTGTTGTTGGAGTCGAACTTTGAAGTTTTTGTATAGTTATACACAAAGTCAACATTTTGTACAAAACTAAGAAAAAAAGGTCGAAACATTCAGTAGTAGCACTACGAGGCTGACAGCTACGGTAGATGATATTTCCTTGTTTAGTGGTGAGACATTTGACCTTGCTCGCTGTTCAATATCAGCAACCATACTGGTGTTATAGTAGCTTGTTTCTTCTGCTATTGAGGTATATAGGAAACAAGATAGCAATGCTCAAATGACATAAAAAAGTGTTCCCACGGATGGAATAACAAAGCAAACAAATATCTAACTTGGAGAAAATTAAATAAAAAATAAAATCAATAGCTTTTCGACTTCAAATACTGTACAGTTGAAATGATTGGGCTATAAGTTGCAGAGAAAATTTTTCTGCAACAGCGAACCCCACAAGAATAATTTGTTTCTAATAACTAAAAATAAATCAAACACTGCATTTATAGCATACTGATGAATGAAGTGAGTTTTCATTATTTCATCATGCAAATTTAACTTCAGAATTTGACACCATTCGGCGATCGCAGCGCGAACTGCTTTTCTCTACTTTTTGCCGAACATATGAACAGCCTGGTTGAAAAAACTCACTATATTATATGCGTATTGAAACATTGCGTTCGGTATGTAATTTTTCGTATGTGCTAAACGACAAAGCTAATGGAAGGGCAAATTTAGAATACCAGAATTCAAATTGCAAATGCCATTATTATCACGCACTTCTCTAGTGAGACGTACTTGATCATTATTTACATTGTGCGGAATTTTAGCTACGGTTTCAGTACTCGACGGTTTTTAAATAAATTAGACATTTATATTTATCTGAAATTTCTCGAAACTATATTCTACTAGTCCGTTGCTCATCAATTACCTCACATACACACACAATCATCAAAAATACATGAAACAATGGAAGAATCACTGGCGAAACATTGGACGTAGAAAGCACGCATCGATAAATGAAAATTTTCGTTAAAACTATCGTTACAAGTATTATAACAATATACCAGGATGAATTTGTGTATATGACTCTTCTCTCATTAAATAACTTGTTGTCTTACCTTCTCTTTTATATTCGCTAAAATCGAATGTCGGATATCCTCTTGTTTCTGCTGTAGGAAATAAACAATATAGTCAATAAAATAAATACTCACTGATCCATAATATGCGCATGATTAAACCACAAGTGAAATAACCATGGACGCTGGCGCATGCGAACAGAAGCCGTGAGGCCAATCAGTGTTGACAGAAACTTAGTATATGGTTCAGTTTTGTATAAACGTCTGATTATAATCTCTGTGTGCTCTCATACAATCCTACAAAAATTTAAATATCAAAACTTTATTTAAACGATGGAGTGATTCCTAAAAAACTGTGGAGTAATATTTGTATCAGTTGAATAGAGAATATAATGTAGCGAATAATACATATATAGAAACTGTTACGGCTTTGAGATGACCTAAGATGTAACTTTCATTGATGTGGCCACAAGCGTGTTTTTAACACTAGTGACCTATCACAGTTCACAGAAATTCAAATCTAAAATACGTCATATGTAGTATTTTTTGATTCACGGAAGGTCGAAAACACAAAAACTATAATATTTACTATAATATACCATTTTATACAGATTCATTTTATTTTCACCTTCAATAGAAGAGGTCATTTGTACTTCTGATATTGTATCTAAAAATAATGATAAAATATCGATGTGTTTTCATTTTCAGATGTCGATTACAATAACGCCTATCATGAACTTTTATTTCGATTCATACCTGTCATTTTAGGAGTTGTTTGTGCTGGCGTTGTTGTTTCTGAAACAATAAAGCGGAAGAGTATAAGGATCTATTGAATAGAAAATGCCATTCAGCGATTAATGTATAGAAACTGTAACTACGTATTTGTTCGACGCAGTATGCAACATTCATTGATAGGGTCAAAAGTGTTTCCGAAACAAGCGCGAAAACAAGTATAAATAAACAAATAAAAAAAAACAGGATAATTGGTTAATCTATCTTCATTAAAAAATAATATTGTAGCCATCTCATGTTTCTCTAGATACGAATGTGATTATATTAGCCAATTATAAGTTGAAAAAACGTCGAATCAGAATTAATTATATATTAGCCTACGCGATGATTTATAGAAAAATGAATTTCGCCACTTTTCTGTTTGAACAAATTTGCCCTGCCCGGTGCATTTCGTTTGGAAATATATATTTGGGACCGCCTTGAAAAGTCTTACTCTTACTGAACTCTTTGGCTTCAGTGCCATCTTTGAGAACATTTTTTTTCGTTTCACCATTACTCCGATATATTCTACCATACTTTACATTGGCATGAACAACAATGATAAAACACGATTGTTTTCGTAGAAATTTGATTTGTCCAACACATTACCAAACGTGTAATGCTTGTCTAAAACTTGCCCATCTTGTCCTGTTTCTCACTTGTCCAGGTTTGCCCACACTCGTACTTACATGCCCAATCCTGCTTAGTAGAAACCTCTCTTGATCGAATAAAACTCGTCTTGATTTTCTCACACATGTTCAGCTTTTCCCATATTTGACTGATTTGTTTGTCTAACAGCTGTCCTGCTCTTATCATACTTGTCACACATTTGTCCTGTTTATCTAACAATTGTCCAGCTTATCTCTCACTTGTCCTACTTGTATCTCTTGTCAGGCCCGGTTAGTACTTGCATGGGTAACCCGGGTGGGAATACCGGGTGTCGTAGGCTTTTCTTATTTGCAAACCATGAAAATGATTTCAGCACTTGATTATTTCAATCCACGTCAGTATTTTTAGTCAGAAATTACAAGACCTTTAAAATGTAACATGAATTCGGTGAGACTGTGGTGACTTCCTGATCAAAATTTGAATAAATACTTGTTAAGACACCTCTATCGATATTTATTGTAGATTTCGAACGATATGAAAAATTTCAATCATTTCTTACAATCTTTTTTTAAAGGTGGCAGTATATATACTTTTAAATCAGCGCTCCCCCAAGTATATGTACTAAGATGGCGCACAACCTGAACCCTAACCTGGTACACATATTATGTTCAGGTTGTGTGTCATCTTGGTACATACACTTCGGGAGCTCCTTTAAATCAACGATAGAAATATTAAAATAAAAACATAATATCGTTAGCCTGCGTCCAATTCCCCCATCTAAATAAGTCAGTCAGTATCATAAAGTATCAGAAATTTTTTGAAACTTTTTATTGGAATAAATAAGGTTTTATCCAGGTCATAACAACACCAATTGTATATCAATGGTGATATAATTTAATTTCGTTAATTTCAAAGTCTGCTTGTTTTAGATTGGGTTGAAATGGTCAACATTTAATTGGTTGCTACGAAATTCATGGTTAGTAATTACGGATTAATATTTAGTCATTCGCGATTTTAATTCGAATTTTGATTAATTTTCGGTTCCACTTCAACACAACCCATAACCTTATCTTGACAACAAATGCATTTCTCTGATTTTCACAAAATTGTCCAATATTCGAAGTCACAAAACTGATGATAATAAACTGATAAATAAACAAATGATAAGTAACATGTATGAGATTGTATATCAAACAGAGATAAATGGACTTTTGAAGCAAAAAGCCAAAGTTGTCTAAGGAAAATGAGTAGCGATATTTACATAATATTTAACTTTTCTGCTCTGTATGACAGAAAGTTTGCCTTGGTTTAATCGTAGCCGAGGTCCCATGGGGTCTGTTGTTGGAGTCGAACTTTGAAGTTTTTGTATAGTTATACACAAAGTCAACATTTTGTACGAAACTAAGAAAAAAAGGTCGAAACATTCAGTAGTAGCACTACGAGGCTGACAGCTACGGTAGATGATATTTCCTTGTTTAGTGGTGAGACATTTGACCTTGCTCGCTGTTCAATATCAGCAACCATACTGGTTTTATAGTAGCTTGTTTCTTCTGCTATTGAGGTATCTAGGAAACAAGATAGCAATGCTCAAATGACATAAAAAAGTGTTCCCACGGATGGAATAACAAAGCAAACAAATATCTAACTTGGAGAAAATTAAATAAGAAATAAAATCAATAGCTTTTCGACTTCAAATACTGTACAGTTGAAATGATTGGGCTATAAGTTGCAGAGAAAATTTTTCTGCAACAGCGAACCCCACAAGAATAATTTGTTTCTAATAACTAAAAATAAATCAAACACTGCATTTATAGCATACTGATGAATGAAGTGAGTTTTCATTATTTCATCATGCAAATTTAACTTCAGAATTTGACACCATTCGGCGATCGCAGCGCGAACTGCTTTTCTCTACTTTTTGCCGAACATATGAACAGCCTGGTTGGAAAAACCCAACTATATTATATGCGTATTGAAACATTGCGTTCGGAATGTAATTTTTCGTATGTGCTAAACGACAAAGCTAATGGAAGGGCAAATTTAGAATATCAGAATTCAAATTGCAAATGCCATTATTATCACGCACTTCTCTAGTGAGACGTACTTGATCATTATTTACATTGTGCGGACTGCGGAATTTAAGCTACGGTTTCAGTACTCGACGGTTTTTAAATAAATTAGACATTTATATTTATCTGAAATTTCTCGAAACTATATTCTACTAGTCCGTTGCTCATCAATTACCTCACATACACACACAATCATCAAAAATACATGAAACAATGGAAGAATCACTGGCAAAACATTGGACGTAGCAAGCACGCATCGATAAATGAAAATTTCCGTTAAAACTATCGTTACAAGTATTATAACAATATAACAGGATGAATTTGTGTATTTGAACTCTTCTCTCATTAAATAACTTGTTGTCTTACCTTCTCTTTTATATTCGCTAAAATCGAATGTCGGATCTCCTCTTGTTTCTGCTGTAGGAAATAAACAATATAGTCAATAAAATAAATACTCACTGATCCATAATATGCGCATGATTAAACCACAAGTGAAATAACCATGGACGCTGGCGCATGCGAACAGAAACCGTGAGGCCAATCAGTGTTGACAGAAACTTAGTATATGGTTCAGTTTTGTATAAACGTCTGATTATAATCTCTGTGTGCTCTCATACAATCCTACAAAAATTTAAATATCAAAACTTTATTTAAACGATGGAGTGATTCCTAAAAAACTGTGGAGTAATATTTGTATCAGTTGAATAGAGAATATAATGTAGCGAATAATACATATATAGAAACTGTTACGGCTTTGAGATGACCTAAGATGTAACTTTCATTGATGTGGCCACAAGCGTGTTTTTAACACTAGTGACCTATCACAGTTCACAGAAATTCAAATCTAAAATACGTCATATGTAGTATTTTTTGATTCACGGAAGGTCGAAAACACAAAAACTATAATATTTACTATAATATACCATTTTATACAGATTCATTTTATTTTCACCTTCAATAGAAGAGGTCATTTGTACTTCTGATATTGTATCTAAAAATAATGATAAAATATCGATGTGTTTTCATTTTCAGATGTCGATTACAATAACGCCTATCATGAACTTTTATTTCGATTCATACCTGTCATTTTAGGAGTTGTTTGTGCTGGCGTTGTTGTTTCTGAAACAATAAAGCGGAAGAGTATAAGGATCTATTGAATAGAAAATGCCATTCAGCGATTAATGTATAGAAACTGTAACTACGTATTTGTTCGACGCAGTATGCAACATTCATTGATAGGGTCAAAAGTGTTTCCGAAACAAGCGCGAAAACAAGTATAAATAAACAAATAAAAAAAACAGGATAATTGGATAATCTATCTTCATTGAAAAAGAATATTGTAGCCATCTCATGTTTCTCTAGATACGAATGTGATTATATTAGCCAATTATAAGTTGAAAAAACGTCGAATCAGAATTAATTATATATTAGCCTACGCGATGATTTATAGAAAAATGAATTTCGCCACTTTTCTGTTTGAACAAATTTGCCCTGCCCGGTGCATTTCGTTTGGAAATATATATTTGGGACCGCCTTGAAAAGTCTTACTCTTACTGAACTCTTTGGCTTCAGTGCCATCTTTGAGAACATTTTTTTTCGTTTCACCATTACTCCGATATATTCTACCATACTTTACATTGGCATGAACAACAATGATAAAACACGATTGTTTTCGTAGAAATTTGATTACAGACTTCCCAGAAAATTGATATCTGTATTCTAATACAATATAGTTCAGAATATGAGGACGTGTTTTGCAACATCAGTAAAAAAGATATGGGAAATATTTATTCAAAATTTATATCAAGCATTTATGTGTAAATTCAAATAAACACAATGTGGTAAATATGGAATAGTCAACTATTTATGCATTGGGCATCCTTTGAGAAAGTGCGTTGATAGTATTTTCGACGCGAAATTGCTTTATTTGAAGTTGTGAAACAATTACTAGAACGCACAATACTGCACCATCAATATCGATGTAATATAGCGACGACAGCGGAACTAGCAGAAAGGACAATTGTTGTTCAATAAAAATATTGTGGCTATACTCATATTTATATCATATTACTTTCATTCGTACTTAACTCCAATCCTTACATGTATTAGAGTGCCTACATAAGAGACATTGAAAAAATAGCTTACTACCTACCTTCAGTACAATTCCAAAACTCATATAGGATTTGAAATTGTAAAGCTGAAGGATCGCATTTGTACACCACATAAGGAGATTTTTCGACGCCTGTGTAAGTCTCGCATCTGTTGCGTTTTATTTCTTGCGAACAATGTTCGGATTTCGAAGTTGCAAAACAAACAGTATTACCATGTGCTTGGAACTTGATTAGTTTGATGGTTTGACCATCTGAATAACAAAATAAAAATATACAACCATATTATTGAAAGCACCAATATATCGCAGAAAACGAGTTAGGCATACTGATATTTTGAGAAAATATATATTTTTGACTTTTAAACATCTATATCTTTTTATTTAAATATTTTGGTGAAGATGGTTTCGACTTTTGATTACAAAACCAGCTTTGTAATATTTTTAATTATAATTATTATCGATTTGCAATGAAAGCTACTGTTACATCTCATATTGTTGTGCTAATATATTACAAACGCCATGACATAATTAGATCTTTCCAATTCCAATTTTATTTTAAATTTCCACAGCTGGTCTTTTGTCTTGAACCCTCGATTTGCAATGAAAGCTACTGTTACATCTCATATTGTTTTTATATATATTGTGCTAATATATTAAAGAAGCCATGACATAATTAGATCTTTCCAATTTTTGACCCATACATGAACCGCGCAATGGTAGCGGGCTCTATCGGTCAGTCTTCATGGACCCCTATAAATATACGAGCTATTTTGAATTCCGTCTATGTTATTATTTTTAGACGTATATTGACATTAGAACAACCACAAAAATGGTTTAAAGTTTTTTTGTGATAAGTAAAACCACCGGTTACAATGATATATATATATATATATATACGTAATCTCGCATGCTTACTTGCTTTTGCAACTTCAAGACGCGCTTGTGGCGTGGGATCATTGAGGCTTGTGAAACTCAATGTCAGTGCACCAGCCCCGGATGGATAATCGAATGTCCACTTGCACCTTGAAAATCCTCGGCACTCTTTTTTATTTGTGGGTCCTTTGATGACGCCTGTTCTATCTGCTCTAAAACGTGATTCGCACTGGTCACTTGAGCAAAGATGAAAAACTGTAAAATGCAAGACATTGTGAATTTGTGAGTAGGAATGAGAATTGAGAAGACGATATTTTTGTCTCTGCAGCTTGCAATTCCACCTAAATAAGCACGGTCCGAATTTGTCAATTTTTATTCACCTTATATCATTAAATTTAATCATGCGTATTTCTGAAAATAGCAGATAGGCCTGCTCGATAATGCTGAATAATAAAGATAAATTAATTGCAAAATAGTTTTCTGTATATTATATATCATTTTTTTAGAAAGCACAAACGTGTACAATTTTTAATTTGCAAATACGCAATTTCAATGTTTTAGCTGTTTGCCACCACAACTTGTAATACAAACTAAAACGTGAAACAACTCGAAAGTACAGATTTTCTTAGATCGTACACCCACCTCCAAAAATAAATAGTCCATAGAAGATGCATATTGGCATCAGCATCATCATTCAATATTCCTTTTCGCGTTATAGTTCATAACTTCTATATATATTGCGTACTATCCAGCAAGACGTCGCATTTATATACATCCAAACATTTTTCTAATTCATTCAATTTTCCAATTTCTATTCCAGGAAGTATCTCTAAAAGCTAGAGGTGACTGAGATTCTGACCCCAGTTTCACAATCAGAACAAAGAATTTGAAACCAACTTATTCGCAAAAGTGATGCACGTATGCACGTAGCGCAATGACTGGTTCGATCACAATAGAAATATGATTTTTAGACACTTATGACCCACGCCGTGCCCACGTAGTGAACGCAGTTTCTCACTCAGTTACCTAGCTCCTCATCTTGTGACTTTTCTAATTTATCAAGACTTTGTTTGAAATGTGATTAATAAGAATTTCGATGTCAAGAATTAATCAAGGTTTTATTTTTTTGTCCTTTCATGATGTCGATATATGTATCGATTGATGTCAGTGAATTGTTAACAAAAACGTTATTCGAATACTCAAATTGATCTCTGTATAATAGTTGCTTGTTTCAACTAACTTTTACACAAATAAAATGTCTTTCGTCTTCGAAATTTGGTTCATTTAATAATACTGACAAAAACCCGTATATCGTCAAATATTTACCAAAACATTCATCGAAATTAGATTATATACAAAATAAAACTTTTTGTTTAACTTTCGCAAAACTCATGCTTTGCACAAAATCATTCCAATGACCTCGAAAAAGACTTCATTGCAGTAGCTCTGAGCATAATAATTTCGGCAATAATATGGTTTTTCATAACAGCTCGGTACGAACGTTACGTGCCCACTTTTTGTCCCTTTGTAACCGAACGACCCCAGGGACTTTTGACACCCCTTTATAACATTTGTAATTTCTCCCAGTTCAACCATGCGATGAAAATCACTTAGCTATCGTTCAAAGGGCCGTTTTAGCTGCCTTCTGAGAGCAGTCGCTAGACTTGCGTAGCGTGTCTGGTGAGAAGAGAGAAATCGAAAAATGTTTTGAGAAGAAGTCTGAGCGCTGTGGTGAACACAGACTAGATACAAGGGCGAGACGATAGTAAAGTAAAGATCATTACTGCCTACTTTTGCACACATCTCATCTGGACTTGTTTCTTTTTGCTCTGCGTGATAAAGAATGATTTGTTGCTAGTTCAAAATACTTTTCTTATGTAGTAAACATAAATTCGTTGTTTCATTGAAAACTTTTATAAATACAAACCTGTTTTACCACCTGGACTCACGGCGTAAACAGCAACGTCGGAAAAGCAAACTTGTCACACAACTTGTCGTTGCGGAAACGCTTGATTCAATTATGGATCATGGTTTGATCCAAACATTTGGTTTGTTAAAATTGATTTCGTTTTGGTGCAGACAACTATGAAACACTTCCGACACAAAAAAAAACGGTGTCTCAAAAATGTCGTGTCTCACTTGTCCATGTGTTCCACTTGTACCACGTGTTCCAATTGTCCTACTCGTTCCATGTGTCCCACTTGTTCAAGGTGTCTCACTTGTCCCTTCTTAGTGTTCCACTTGTCCTACTCGTTCTACGTGTCCGAGGTGTCTCACTTGTCCCTTCTTAATTCAAAAAATTTGAATGGCAATACATGCATTAGAGATATACCGATACCGCGTTTATCGGCGATACAGGTACCGGTCCGATAACGACACGCCGATATTTCAAAAAAAACGATATTGCCGGTATTCCGATACGGATACTACGATAATATTAAATTACCCACTGAATCGTAAGGGACAGACAAGATAAAATAGCTGTATCCGAACTATATTTATAATCATCATTATTTCAGCTTGACGAAAAGGTATTCCAGAAAATCAGGCTTTAATATTTGTGATCCAAATGCATACATGACGTGTCATTAGAATCAATGCTAAAAGATTAAAGTACTGGAATCAGTTTTATCATAAATTGCTTTGCAACATAGGTATGCAAAGTTCCGCCTCATCGCATTTATTAAACAAATTATAATAGTTTCTGCAGATGTTTTGTTGCGCACAGGCGCAAAGAATCGCGGTGTTTGATCTGCGTAATCTGAGAAATCGTTGTTATAGGTAAGTATATATATTTGGTAATTTTATTACTTGTTCTACCACATACATTTTATCATCACATATGCGTATAAATTATTTAAATTCGTACAGTAACCTTTGGAATCTCTTCAGCTTTTGAAATCCCGCTCCACATAAATAAATAAAAATGATTTACTCTAGCATTCCCCTCCCCAATTTTATTCTTCCATTTTGAGAATATAATTTTGAATTCTAGAATGTTCCTCCCCAATATTTTAGTCATCTGAAACTGTGGATCTTAAACATAATAGCTTGAAGGGGGGGAGTTGACTTTGATGACCGCCTGGTCGTATCATTTCCTCCTGTCTATACCAAACTAATTTATTTCTTATTGTTATTATTTTTATTATTATTACGATGACCGTTATTTTTGGTTAACGAAAAAATAAATCTCTCTCTCTCTCAAATACCTTGAAAAGGATTATTCAATGGCAAGTACTATAATATTGTACTAATTGAGAAAGTTAAAAAGATTTGTAAACGTTTTTCCGTACAATTCCAGTCGAAATTGATGTTATGCGAAATGAATGCCAAGAAGAATTTAGAAAGAAAGTCTATCATATGATGCAGATATGGATAGCACTACTCGTTGAAATTCTACACTGGCGCGTCGTGCTAAGCGTTAGAAATACGCTTGCCCCCGTACCTCTGCTCACTTTTCGCAGGTTCGAATCCAGCCTTCGATGATTATGTGCGATAAGATCGCTGGACACCGCGTCGCTGTAACCTCCGGTCGGTTACGGCTTCCTCCCCATCAAGCTTCATGCATCTGAAACGAATAATTGGCTAACTAATCCAACAACCGACATGGACTGGTTACCGGACGAGAAACAGATTGAGCCGTCTTATCGGGTTCCTCTCCTCGGGGTAAAAATATAAATCCCATTCTAAATATATTACATTACCAGTACCAGTAGCCTACCGTAGTTTTCTAGACTTCGATTGATCACTTATCGCAACGATCGCAATCGCGGAACCGTCGTGAATTGCGTCATGAGAAAAAATTTCACAGCAAGAAGAATACTAACAACAACAACAATATAACAACAAAACGATCCACATGTCTACTTCGTGTCAAATAAACAAACAGTAACATGAGCCACCATTACCATAAATCTGTTGTTGTGAAGTACATACATGCCATGATGTCGAATAAATATTTTACGCAAACACATTTCACTACTAACATTTTGGACACGAATTGGACCGACGGGTTGTTTTGTTTTTATTATCATTATGTTGTTGTTGTTGTTAGTATATTCTTCTTTTTCTTGTTGTTGTTGTGAAAACCTAGCAACTGGATCAATTGCTTTGAAATTTTCCGTAGTTAAAGATTGTTGTTGTCGGCTTTTACTTCTCTTTATTTCAAAAATACCTGTGGGCTCTATGGGATTCGTTTTTTACTTTGAATTTTCTTTGATTGAAACTGTGCACCGTGTGGTTCATTTTGACTTTCGTGTTCATATATTTAAGCACTGCTCTCTTGTTTATAATAGTATTATAGGAATACTGTATAGCTATTATTTGAAATAGGGTTTCAATTAGTTTTATAAACTTTAATAATAAACTTATGAATAAATTAACCTTTACTTTTGCAAATGAAATGCAATATATAAATAAACTTATGGGCTTCGTTTGAAAAATTCGAACAATCAAATATTTGTGTGTTTGATAACAGTCGCTTGTACCAGATAATTGGTTGCTGCAGTATCGCACACTTTTACGATCTCTTAATATTTAGATATATGAAACGAATACAATAATCGTTTAAGCTCTCAGTGAAGGTATTTGATTTTCGTTTCCATGTACATATTTAGCATTGCTTTCTTGTTTATGTACTTGTGTTTGGATGATGCCCGACTTTGGAGACCTTAATTAACGGTAGTATTGTTATCACCATTCAGTCATATACTGGAAACTTTAAGTCTTTATTTTATACATTTGAACTGTTTTCTGATTTGACGAACGAATAAATTCTCACTGTCTCCACCCCACAAGGATAAATGATCTGAAGTCCCGTCCCCAAGATATTACAGTGAATTACCGTTTCCCATAATGCAACCGAATCACTCAGCCTTGAAATGAAGAAACTGTGTTGAAGTGTCGCTCCCTGTCTGTTTTCTATAAACTATCGAACTACGCAAAGCTAAATAGCCTAAGTTAGGTACCGTACCGTACTGGATTTGGGAGAAGGGGTTTAAAAAGAACTTGACATGCATTACTCTTTTACGTAGATCAACGAAAAGTATATTGTTTTTCATTTTTTCTTGGTCAAGATAACTTGGTGGTACGGTACCGTACCGGTAATAGATACCGGTACCGTATGCTGGTATGCATCACACAGTTATACAAAGTCTCATAGTTGGCCGCTCTTTTATTCATTATGCTGTACGGTATCTCTCTGTGTATTGAAACTACTAAACACTGAAACAGGACATCATACCTACCATATGCAGACACATAATGGAATTTAGGGCTTTGGGTACCGTACACTACCTGTACCGTGGTACGGTAACGTAGTACCGGTACCTTTAGCAGATTGCTGCTATCCTATAAGTATACGATAATTAAATTCAATTGACGCTCTCGAAAGACATACCGGTATCGAAAAAAATTTTAATCAAAAAGGTACGGTACCGTACCGTACCGTACCGGTACTTTATAGGCCCTATCTGTAGCCTATATTAAAGGCTGAAAGGCAGGATAGTGAAATCAGTATGATACACTGACATTGTCTCGTTTCAGAGAACGCATTTTACAGATGATTAGACGTCCCCCGCCCCCCTTTGGGGAACGTCTGGACATCAGGACATGGTTGTCCCTCAATATCGGTAAAACTACAGTAAATTGAAATTGCGCAAAAAGTTCAAAGAAGCGCAATCTAAAAACGTCATCATTGATTTCCTCGGGAAAAAATTATCTGATTTACCGAAGGAAAAAATTCTCTACCGTGGCATTCGAGAGTTATGAACAAAAAACGGCAATTTTGGTCTCGAGACGACTGCGATTAATTTAGATTATTATCGAGACAAGCATGGCGCGATATGACGCATCTGCCGTTGTGCCAGACGTCCCTCGTTTGTGAGACACGTGGAGTGTTTGTTTTATTGAACCAAATGACGGAACATTCTTGGAATAGTGGATAGTGTGCCGTACTGTAAATGATACAATACCTGAATACTCTCCGACTCTGGTCTCTAAGCAATATTAAATTGCTCGTTTAAATTGTCATATATCGAAGTCAAAACGAAGCCCGAAATCAATTTTTTTTAATAGGCTAGTTGGATTTATAGTTAAACAAACTTTTTATGTCGGCCTAGGGTGGCTTACCCACTTTGCGGCCACAACCTATTTGCAACCATCAACTTCATCGATTAAATTAATGCCGAAAAAATTAATGAACCGCGACAATATTTCTCACGCGTTATCGTCCAGTTATCCCTCGTAGCTCTGCGAAATTACACTAAAATATGGCCACACACAAAAAAGTTACGACCGAAAACCTTGCTGAAGGAAAAAAACGTCCCATTTTTCCACGTCGCCAACTACCCATTGTCCCTTTGAAAAAACTTGAAAATCCATACGAATAAAGGAGATAAGACGATGAAACTTGGCAGGTGGGTAGAGTTGTGTTTCTTCTAACCATCTTCAAAGTTTCCCGTTTCTACATTCAAAGGAGTGGGAATATTGGGGTGCGCATTTCCAATACGTCGATGATATCTTTGTCGACCAATTTGCGACCAACGTGTTTTTGTCTGTTTGATTGCTGTGATGCGGTGCTTTGTTTATAATTTGACGAGTTTTGTTCGAAATAACCGTGTTCTTAAAATATATGACGGTCAGAAATGCAATTAGAAGCCCATTTTTTCCATGCATGGCCGTGTATGCCCTAGTCTCGACGCAGCAGAAACGATGTTCAAGGCTTGAAATCCGTGGTCGCACACTGGTCGTTCGGTCGCAAATACGTCTCCAGAGTGTCATACTTTGGTGGTCTGTATAGCTTTAACCCCTGGTCGTAGAAAGGAATTCGAGGTTTAGCGTGTAGAATAAATGCTAATGCACCTACGGGGAAAAAATTAACGGGTTAGAAATATTGGTTTTTGTTTTATAGCGGTTTTAATGAAATCGTCAGCAGACTGGCTACACCACCCTATACGTGTAATGTGTAATGACAGAATTATAACAATTTAACATAGCATCTTCGATTTTTTTAGAATGGAAATTTCCAGAACGCACAATGGGTTTCATTGTCATTTTACTTGGCAATTTTCATTTACATTTGGACACCGACAATTTATAGTAAAATAAATGCCTTGACGCGACATTGGATTAAACAGTTCTTGTACTAATTAGGCTACACAAGTCAATAATGTGCTGCATATGAATGCCTTGATGCGGCATTGGATTGAATTATTTTGCTAATGTGACTCTCGATTCTCATCGATCTATTTTTTTATAAATTACGAAAGTTAATCATTTGCGGCATATGAATGTCTCGATGCGGCATTGAATTAATTTATTCTCACATAAATTACGCAAGTTGAACATTTGCGGCATATGAATTCATCGATGCGGCATTATATTAAATTTTTTTGCTAAATTGATTCTTGTTTTTCACTGATTATGCAAGTTGAACATTTGCGGCATATGGAAGCCTCGTTGTGGCATTGGATTGAATTATTGTTTTATAAATTAAAGGTGGTGTTATCAAAATGTCATTTTTATTATTTTTGATCCATGTGTTATCGTTAACACGCCATCCTATCTACAATGAAAATAAAAGGTTCATCTACGAGAGAAACACACCAAGCTAAGGTTTGCGTCGAGGGAAGGCCGATGCGCATCTGCATGCGTCGATTGAAATTCAGTGCCGTCAACGAAGATCTTTCATGCCCTTTTTTGCTCATTTTTCTCCAACGCTTTGGTAATTTTTTTTTTTTGGGAGATCGGATTGTTTTTTCCCTAAGAAATCCAATGGTGGTGGTTTCAAGTTACACCTTTTCCTGTTTGTTGCGCAACTGCATTTTTACCAATAGGACGGAGGTGTCTGTTCATCGGTGAAATGGGATTCTCTGAAACAAGACAATGTGCGATCTGTAAAGTGTTCGTACTGATATATGTAGCCTACTTGCTGTTGGCATTTGTGCAGTAACATTGTTGTTTCAGTACAAACAAATTTTGATCCTGCAGTCCTGTGGAAGGTCTGAAGGTGGTTGATGTTGGATTTTATGATCAACAAAGGACACCCAGTTTTAGTTTGTCAGTGTTAGTTCACTAATTCCGTTTTTGAATATGTTTAATAATATGTGACTTTACTGCATATGGCAACTTTATTCTAATTTAGTGCTTATAGAATACCACATAAATTTGGAAATAAATGCAACAAAATGCCTTGTTTTCAGTTACATTTTATCTTCATGGTAAAGGCATGTTGTGGATGCCTGGATATGCCTGGATTTTCTCTTATATCATTATTTTCGGAAAGCTCATAAGCTGCAAAAAATCATTTATCATAAAAAGAAACATCGTGTTACTGGTAAAAATTGGACATGGTTCAATCAGTTGATTGCAAAATTGCTGTAAGTCACTCCTTGACACCAATAATGAGTAGTATATGTTAAATTGGTAGAAAAGGCCCATCTCCACATGTATCTGTTGCATGATTTATCTTCAGTAATCACAGAAAATTTCTCAACATATATATTTCATTAAATATTTTGAAAAAGTGATAAATTAAATTACAAAAAGCGTATTTTGTGAACATCAGATATAATGATAATGACTTATCGATCTTGATCGAATGTCGTAGGTATATGTCTGTTTGTTTGTCTGTAAGATGCACGCGATATCTTACGAAAACAAGGTTGAATCTGCTCCAAATTTTGCATGTGCATTCATCATATCTCGGACCAGAAGCCTATTGATTTTGGATGAATTATGTCTTATAATTAGCGAGTTATTAATTAATTGGTGATGGGACACGCGGTGTCACTATAGAGTCAGAGCGAATGAATCGAAACCGTAGTTTCTGTTTTGGGGGGTCCCCTAACTTTCGATCGATAAGTCTTCGGTCTCCGACCGATATTCTCGCTATTGTCTTTGTTACCTTCCTACATAATATGAATTCTAATAAAAATATTGGAATTCTATGGAAATGGGGTTCAAAGTTTTCAGGAGAATCATCAAAAAAGTTTATGGAAATAAAAAGGAAACTTTTAAGATCCTCTACCAATCATTTGACAATTATGTTCCTTATTCAGGTTGCCATAATATTTAGGTTTAAATATGATACTTGATGTCAAGGAATATTTAGAAAAAAGTTACAGGTATTAATTTGTATCTGGAATAAACATCATGATATTGCACCATTGTCGGAAGTGGATATATTATATATGTAGTCAATTGTGGTAAACAAATGCACGCAACGCAGCTGGTCTGTAGCAAGTTTTTGGATACTTTTTAGCAAGGTAAGCATAGTTTGTTATCAGGGAATACTGTAATTTAACTCTAGATTTAGCTGATATAGGCTATACATATTAGGCTGCACATTTTTAAAACTCCTAAATCTACAAAAATTGATCCTAAAAGTCAACTTATCAGATTATTTATGAGGCAGTATAATATGCTTTATGAATGCAATTTAGTATTTTAATGCATGAATTATAATGTGGCCAAGCATTATTATAAAATCGGGTAAAAAGTATTCCATATTTTGTCATTACAGAAATAGAGAGTTTTCTGTAAAATATTTTTTAAACAATGTACAAAACTAGCATTCAATGTCTGGCTCATACATTCTTCCCAAAGTTGCCTAGTTTTTTACTGTTTTCATCACTTTTATTTTCAGTTTAAACAAAAAAAATTACACATCATGAGTGCCGTTAAAATGAGAAATAACAAAAGCAATGGCCAAGATGCTAACTCAATTTCATCAAGCAATCAAACTGCGGATATGAGAATCAAAGAATTAGAAAAGTATTTTTTTTATCATTGTTTGATATATTTTTCATGGAATTGGGTTTATTGGATTAATTTTTTTTTTGTAACACCAAACTAGAAATTCATTTGACCACAGGATATTTCAAGTTCAACACTGATATAATAATAAATTTTGAATTAGCTTACATTTCTCCCAATGTACCTATGATAAAACACCCCCATTCCATAAAAAACAATCGTCTTTGGTTTGCAAAATGGCTGTATAGAGATAATACACGATTTATCCCAGTTGACAAAAATACTGCAGCATTGCATATCATTGCTCATTGATATTTTATGGTTTAGTAATAAAATTCTTTCATGTTGTCATATTGATTGATTTTATGTATTTTGCACCCTTGTTTAGCTAGTTAATAAGTAGGGTTGGTTATGGTTAACTGGTTGAATTGTTAGCCAATCTTAGATAGTTAATGATTGCAATTATTTTTTGATCATTTACTGTCTTCTTATGTGCATTCACCTTATTAAAAGTAGAATATTTGCCACAAATTTATTCCGAAGAATACCTCTATTTCACTTAGTAGACACTACACAATGTAGCACAAATCCAGAAGTATTAATGCTTGTGGTCCGAATGTGGCAATGAATGAGTGCATATTTGATCATAATATATTGCTCTCTATTCAACAGCATTTTAAGAAGTGCGCATTCGATTGTAGGAAAATAAATATAAGCTATTAATAATATTATTACAAGTCCTGAATTCCATGAATTCATAATTTCAGCTGTGAACTGTGTCAATGGTCAATTTGTATGGTTAGCTGGTGGTCCAAAGCAATGTTCCCTCTAAGATTTGCTTAGTTGCGCAGAATTGAAGACCGTTAGAAAAAATTGAAAAGAACACAACATTTTAAACATTTTAATCCTATGCAGTGTGTGGCAGAATGAAAGTACTGCGCGGGGATTCTCGGCCAGCTACGCAGCTTAGAGGGAACGTTGGTCCAAAGTATTTTTGCTGGAATTTCCATCCCTTATTGATAAATATTTAGTCTTATATTTTATGTGATTCATTCTCCCGTTCATTATCGAAAATTGTTTTTTTTCAAAACTCAGAATACTTTTTGCTGGCTCTTATGCTTGGCATAGAAACATTCAACAACAGTTTCTTAAATAAGAGGTGTTTTACAGATTCATCCTGGATGGTCCATGGAGTCCACAGTGGTTGAGTGTAGAAACACTGCTGGATATACTTATAGTATTATATGACGAATGTGGTAACTCCACGTTAAGAAGAGAAAAAAGTGTTATCGATTTCATAGAATGGGGTAAGCTGCTTCATATTTTGGTATAATTTTTCATTAACTTCAAAAGAAGTACAGTTTATGATTTTATGGATGCTTTTTTGCTGTTATTCTTTTTGTAGGTAACTTACTTTATAATATCCCAAGATTTTTTCAATTAATCTCGGGCCATTAGTGGTATTATCATGTTTGTTTAGTGAGTTATAGAGATATCCATATTCACAAGCTTGTTTTAATCAATGATAGGAGAAATAGCATAAATATATTCCACCATTTAATACTTCTAGAATCTAGGCTTTTTTTAGTTATATTGTTATTTCATAATAGCGTTTTTAAAGTTCTCTTGTTAACTGCTTGATTTATTACTTATAAATACATAAAAAAAAATTTGAATTTATTAACCATTCTAAATTGTCAGATTTTATCGATAATTTTTTTTACTTTCATTAGTATTGATATGATTCATAATTATGTCCATTTCATGCCAATTATTAAATTACATTGGTTCCAACTGCACTTATCTGGTCATCCACATGGCAACATTTGTTAAATAGTTATTAAATACTCTCAGCAGTGCTGGCCCAGAAAGCATTTTCAACAATGGTGGTCCTTTGTAACAGTACCTCACTACTAATAACATACTATGTAACGTTTTCTCTTCAAGCAAAACCTTTCACATCAAGAATAAAAGAAACGAGATTGCACAAAGACGACTTCGATTTCTTGAAAGTAATTGGAAGAGGAGCATTTGGAGAGGTAGAGTAGTTTACTATTTACTGTGTCACTAAATTTTTCTTATGTGCTTATGCTCAGCCAAGCATGATGATTCACTATATCAAAAGTTCTTTCGTAATTCTTTGATCTGCTCTATCACAATAAGGAAATACACATCAGTAGTCTTGAACATATGACATTGGTTCTGTAGTTGTGTTTTCCCATTTGTGTTTTAGTTTGGTAACAGTTGATGGGATATATTTTAAACATCGTTTTGAATAGGCCTGTAGGACTTTGCCTCAGGGCTGGCTTTGAAGTTTAATCCACCCTGTGGCCATCTTTGATTCAATTCATCTTTGATTTTAATGAGCATTTTGCTAATCAGGATTTCTGAATGGCTTCAATAAATAGGATGCATTGCATAGTTAATCACTTATTTTAATTCGATTTTGTTCAAATTCATCATACTTTGATCCTTAGCATTATTTTTCTCTGATCTAAAATTTCTTTTTCATAATGATTTCAACTGAGGTTCTCCCTTAAAAAAATGATATATTACAAATAGCTACAAAATCTCTTGGTTTGAAATGTATGATTATGTACCAAATAGTTTCAGTTTCTGTCTGAGATTTTCTATTTCCTTGTGCCACCTGCTGATAAGAAGAATGATTAATGACCCACACAGTTTCTATATCCCAGGTCCCAGCTGATCTTTATGCCGCATTGGCAGATTTTTCCTGATGACCCCTAAAATAACAACTATCAAATTTTATAATTTTTTATTGTTTTTGAAATACTATGTATTGATTTAGAGCAGTTGTTGTCAATTTTGTTAGTTCAGGCTTTTTTCATTTTATCATGTTGTCTTGGTCAACCTAATAACATTCGTATTTGAAGGTTGCCGTTGTCAAAATGAGAAATACAGATGATGTTTATGCCATGAAAATATTGAACAAATGGGAAATGTTAAAGCGGGCTGAAACAGCATGTTTTCGAGAAGAACGAGATGTATTGGTACATGGAAATACAAACTGGATTACGAAGCTTCACTATGCTTTTCAAGATGATAATAATTTGGTATGACATATATAGAACTTTTGCGTTTTCTGCCAGTATGTTATCAAGCATAAAACACAAAGTATGTTATGGGGACATGATTCATCTTTATTAACTTAAGTCCAGTGCATCTTTTTGAAATGAAATGACTGTACCAAACAATCAAACACTTTTTGTTACGAGTCACCACGAAAAATGTCGGTTATATCAAAATTTCTACATTTCCGGCCATTTTGTGTAAACCATCAAAAACCTGGGTGAAATTTTAACTTATTCTATCAAAACAAAGCAGTCCAATAAACTCCAAGTGTCTTTTGATATAAAAATGACAAAACAATTACTTTTACTGCACTTTTTGAAAAATTGATAAAATTCAACATTTGCTTGGAATGGCCCATAAAAAGAATCCAGAATATCCAACTCTTTGTATTATTTTGCTTCTTTTGCTGTTTTTATGTAACATGAATTGTTAACATTGTGTGACGTAGATGTGTGATAGATAGCCATCAGCCATTTATATGGTTTAAGAAACACAATTGATGTCCTATGTATTTTCACCTGCGGTTTTCTTGCCAAAATATTCTAATCGGATTTCATGCGACCAAACTTAATACAAGGGCTCTATTCTGGATTGTCATTAACAGAATTTGTGTAAAATATGACAACAAAAAGCATCAGTTAGTTTGAGTATAATATCACCGTACTTCACATACTGCGTTATCAGTGTTATTTTTGTAATTTTGACTATGTTTCTGAAGTTAACAGTGATATCAAAAAATTAGGTGCAATTATGAAATCCACTCGCAGCTGTTTTTTACTTATTAATTATACAGAAAATATATTTTCAAAAGCTTCATGTGTAATTGAAACTTTTTGCATTTGCAAGTTATGAATTCTGATGTAAATGCAATAAAAATATTAGAGGACCTAAATCTCGGGAAATATGTCTAAAATTCACACTCTAGATCACAAGTCTGATTTAACCACTAATGCATGTGATTGAATTCAGGATGACCTCAAAGATAAAACTTTGGAACATAAATTTTGAGCAAAGAACCCTAGGTTTTAGAATATAAAGTATTAAATAAATTAGAATTCTATAAGAAATTAGGAATTTTGGGTTTATAGGTTGATTTTTTTGGGTACTTTTTGTGAGCCAGGACAACCTGTTCATTATTTATCGTAACTGTTATATATTTTTAGGTAGATGATATCCATGTCTTTTATTGGAGAATAAAATAGTTTAAATGTACAGTCATTCAGCTTAGTCATTTTAAAAATAACATCAATACCAGCTTTCTGTTTCAAGATGTTTTATTTTTACACCTCTCAGGAAATAACTCTAATATGACCAAACCTAAATAGTGAATCAACTCGATATGGGTCATTTTATTACAACATTAGTCACAACTACGAGCGTATTCTGAAAAAATGTACATTTTTTGCCAATTGAAATTTGTTCTACCATGACTATTTTTGAAATATAAATTTTCTGATCTGTGGTGAAAATTGTTGAATATAAACCGTTTTTGCACATTTTTTATATTACTGATATCTGGAGTGAAAATTAATGACTGTAGATAAATTTATGTAAAAAAAAAAAATTTTTACAGTTATGATAATTTTTTAATATCCTTTTCCTCTCATAAAAATTCTATATTGTGGTTCTCTAAATTCAAAAAACACTCAATATTGATTTTGCTATCAGGAAAAAGGTGTCAAAAGGTTTTGCTTATTTTAAAACTCTTTATTCATCCCGCACTTTGCGTATAAAAACTCTTGTCTTATTTCTTAAATAGATCCTTAGCTAGTGTCATGCGCAAGTCTCACCCCAGCTTTTGTACAGTAGGTAATAATGTTTGCATAAATAAATAATAATAAAGAACTAAAGAATATTAGGAATAGGCTACTACAGAAAATACATGCAAAATTCTTCCCCGGGTTGTAAACATGGAACTAAGCTCTACTTTTTTTTACAGTATCTTGTTATGGACTATTATGTCGGTGGTGATCTTCTTACACTTCTAAGCAAATTTGAAGAAGGGCTACCTGAAGATATGGCAAGATTTTATATTGCTGAAATGGTGCTAGCTATAGATTCAATACATAAACTTCAATATGTTCATAGGTATGATTTTCCTCGTATAATTTAGTTAATTTTTGTATGTCATCAACCATACTATTACAGTCAGAATTAGAAAGAAGCAAAATGATGCTGAGACTATTAATTCATCTCAGAAAACAAATATGAATTCTTGAAAAATAATTAGTCGCTTGATTTACATTCAAGCATTGAACGAATCTGTCCAGGCGAAGCATGTTTCTTATTCACATTTCTTTAATTAAGCAAACTATTATAGTTGTGATGTTTAAATATTTGTTTTTAATAACCTCATTTGATACTTGAAAAATGTGATATTTTTATGTTAGGATTCAGTTTTATTTTTTCGAACATAGGAAGGTAGAAATATTACATTATAGCCTTTTTTATTTTTTGTAAGGAAATATATTTTTTTTTTGTGAAAATGTTTCTTTTTGGATGTTATTAATACTAAATGTGACAAAAACTTTATTTTAAAAATTTAAAAATATATTAGCGATAGTAAAATTTCACAATTCTATTGTGAAATTCATATTTTATTCAAGCTTAATTTATTGAATATAGCAAATATTGACCAAATCTCAAATTAACTTAACGACATATTTTTAGACAGGATGAATTGTACCGGTAGTATGATGTCATTGTATAACATTCAGTCATGTTTGCCTACTCCATATTCATTCGTTTGCCGCCTTTATCAATCAAGTCTGTGACCTGTTAGATAGAACACAGTCATTATGTTGCACATTTTGATTGTGCACCATATCGACTCGAGGTTTATCAATGAAATTCTCAAAACAGAAGAATTAAAACATTTGTTGTTGAGTTTATTGATTGCCCTTTTTTGGTTAATACATGTTATTGATCTGGGATCGTTCTTATACATGCTTTCATACTGGTTTCAATTTTGTTTGTACCAAAATAACACGGATAATTTTTGTGGCATATGGGAAACGTAACATTGTGGAATTGTCACAAATTAAACATTAATTTTTCAAGTATTTTGTAATTTAAAAAATCGAAAGATCAGGATTTCTTTCATATTGGATATGATTTGTATTTCATGAATTAATAATCATAATATTCTTCAAAAAATATAACATTTGGTCATTTTGTTTTATTGGCGATTTGTAACAATAAGGTTGTGTTTTCTGTTATATTTAATAATTTCACCAGTACCATTTTGCAATTGTCATTATAACAAATTTATGGAGTTCAAAATATCTGAATCAAACTATTATTCACTTCAGGGACATCAAACCTGACAATGTACTACTCGATGTCAACGGTCATATTCGTCTTGCCGACTTTGGTTCATGTTTACGATTATTACCGGATGGCACTGTAAGTTGGAACAAAATAACTGATATTTTTACTACTTTCTAGCATTAGTTTATATAACATACTCGATCAACACTTTCAGAGCTGTAATATACTTAATAAAGATTGATATTTGGATTTTTGCCCTGAATGCATTATATTTTGCTCTTGTCAATTGCCAACTTTGGTTCCAATATAAATGGTAGTTTATCTTATTATTATAGTATTGGTTGCTAAAAAATGATACTGTTTTGAAAACGATGATGTCATATCTATTTTATGATACCTTCTTGATATAATTTCCTTCAAACATGTATTTTAATATTTCCTGATCGAGATTGTGACTAATGATACTGCGATTCTCTATTTGTATACCTTCAACAAGTTCATATTGTTCTTATCGACCCTCGATTTCCAAACATTGTTGGTTTTATGTGGATTGAATAGTTGGCTCATACTCAACCTATTATCTTACTGGGATCAATATATGCCAATTTCAGTATAATGAGAATTAAATGTAAATTTATATTTGAACACTTTTAGCAATCACACTGTTCTATCATGTATGTAATTTTTGATTTTATGATAAAATTATTGAACTGAACATCCCTCTTTGTGCTTTCATAATTAGACAGATGCACTTGGCGACAGGTGCTACCTAAAGCAAATAAAGCTTCTTAAATCAGTATTGCCGTTAGGTGACATGTTGTTTTGTTCTCCCACGAGATGCAGAATGTCATGTGCAAAGAGATTGGCCAGTTTTTATAACTCCCATGACGCATTCTCACTCTTATTTCCTAAATGTAGTGTTGTTTTCACCATACTTAATCAAGCTTAATAGGAGATCACTACATTAGTAAAGTCGTTTATTGGTTCAATCTTACGACCTTTCGTGTTGATATTTTCATTGACGTCAATATTATTTATTGAATTATTATTTATCCTACACTCGAGTTACCCCAATCAAGCGATCAATGCATAGGTTACCAGTATACTATCTATAATGTATTGTGGCTGGTGATTCATTCGTAACCATTTTTATTAAAGCTTACCCTAATTATATAGAAACACTTTGGTGTACTCAGGGGTGTCCAAAACAAATTGAATATTTAATTACGGTATATTCAAAATTTGTGATTTTAATTTCATGTGAAATATTATCATTGGCTGCAAATGGAATCTCACTGCTTGAACAAAATTCCCGAAAAGATGTGAACAAAAGAGAACTAATTAATCAAATCACTGTACATTTTAAACTCTCATCAAATATATACTGAATTCTATTTGTAATTTGTTGAACACGACGCAAATTTATTTACTAATATTCCAAAATGTATAATTCAGTTTTGTCATGTTCTTATTAGTAACCTCAATGTTTAAGCTTTGAGAAAGATTTATTCATCACTTCTTTAATTAATAAAGACAGAAATCATTGCCAACCAGTGACTTGAATCTTGTCCTGATTTTGTCATCAGCGTTATGATGACAATATACTGACAGCCCAGTTTATTAATTACCAGGGACCTGACTATCTATATTTTCATATTTCTTGCATTGGAATTTTTACTCACAAGTAGGGCACAGTTTATTAATTCTAGATTTTTTTCTATACACAGGTTCAATCCAACATAGCTGTTGGGACTCCTGACTACATTTCACCGGAGATCCTGCAAGCTATGGAAGATGGAAAGGGCCGATATGGACCAGAATGTGACTGGTGGTCTCTCGGCGTTTGTATGTACGAAATGTTATATGGAGAAACTCCTTTCTATGCAGAATCGCTTGTCGAAACATATGGAAAAATTATGACACATAAGGTAATTATGTATTATTTTTTTGTTGGAATGATGTTGTGATATCCACTCGTCTGAAAGTTTGTGAGAAATCTTATGAAAATTGATAAATATCTTCTTGTTCTGCAGGAAAAATTTCGATTTCCTTCTGGCGCCTATAATCGTGAAGTTTCTGATGCAGCAAAGAGTTTGATGAGCAGGTCAGTATAGTACAGGGCTACTCAACTGGTGGACCTCGGTCCAAATCCGGACTTTTCAAGTATTCGATTCGAACCGTGTCTGATTTTTGTTTTGGAGGATTGTCTCCATTTAACTTTGGATGTGAAATATTTTGCGGTTACTCAGTTTTCCACAACTTGCGTTTCCTTATTAACTTTTCAATCAAAAAGATAGAGTCACTAAAATATAGTTAGGGGCAGTATGAAATACATTTTCTGGTCAGTGTGGACCCCGGGAATTTTCAAGTTTTGTATACGGACCTTTAGCAAAAATAGTTCAGTGTAAAATTGAAAAAATTCATAATATTTCATTTCAATATTTCAGTCCGTTATCTGAATATTCAAATTCTTCAAATCAAAATTGCAAATCAGATCCCACTGTCATCAAAATTCACACTGGTACCCTTAGTCCTTTGACTGAGTAATGAGTTTTTCAATAAGATGATGAAGTGGTCTGACATTATGCAACATGATTGTGCATTACCAAAAAAAAAGCAAAATTTTGATAAAATAACAAGCTCTGATGGAAGAAATTTAAAAAAATAAAAATAGTAGCGTTTTAACTACTAGTTAACACAAGTCAACAACAACACTTAGTCAACACAACGACGATACACCCAAGAACAACACATTATAATTTATTTTTATCTAGATTATTTCAGGGTAATTTTAAACTCTTAGTAACGTCTCAAATATTTATTAACAGCTTAGTATGTGACAGCAAAGATAGACTCGGCCAAAGGGGAACTGAGGATTTTCGGGATCATCCATTCTTTACTGGTATTGATTGGGAGAATCTAACCACCATGACACCACCTTATATACCGGAGTATTCGTCACCCACAGATACATCAAATTTCGATGTCGATGACATGGACTCAAAACATTCTAGCGATGCAGCCCCTCCAAATTCATCTATGGGAGCTTTTTCTGGTCACCATTTACCTTTTATCGGATTTACTTACACATCAAATTCGTGAGTATTTGGAAACATTGTTTCAATTTTGTTTTCTTATGTTATGAGAGAAAAACTGAAATTTATGAGCATGAAGGTTAAATGACTAATTGCACTACTGCTGGTCGTGGTGATTATAACAAAATCAGTCCTGTGAACATCGCACAAGCTATTAGTGACTTGCAACTATTGAAAATTTCAAATGAGGGGGTCGGGGACGAACTCTGACAGCACCGCTGAATCTGAATATTCAACTTCTTGAAATCAAGATTGGAAATCAGGCCTGCTGTCATTAACTCTTACACTGGTACCATTAGTCCTTTAACTGAGTACTTTGAGTTTTTTGATAAGATGATGAACTGGTCTGACATTCTGCAACATGCTTGCACCATATTCACAAAAATAGCAAAATTTTGATAAAATAACCAGCTCTGATGGGAAAAATTTGAAATAAACGAAAAATAGTATTTTAATTATTTACTAGTTAACACAAGTTAGCAACAATACCTAATTCAGTTCAGCAAAACCCCTCCACACAATAATAATCAAAGTGACTCTTTGAATACCAGCTAGTGCTATAAGAGGTAGCAAGCCAAATATTATACAATTTTACATGCATTGAGAATACATTGATCTCTTATTTCAGACTGATGTATATTATTTAATGCTAAGCATTATCTAAAACGACTTGAATAATTTCAATATTGACCTTCAAATCAAACATGATTACCGCAATACGTGTTGATGAGAATAAATCAAATATATTACCATTGTTCACTTTTTGGAATATAATTGGAATAGGCTATAATATGCTTAAAATGTGGTTATTGTACAGATTCAAGCAAAAATGGTACAAAGCCTCTAATATCATAACCTTGTGTCGTAATCAAACAGATCTGAACTTCGATAGGTTTATCAGTGACTCAAGATGCTCAAAAAATTGTTCAATGGTCTTATTTTTTTTTATTAAGTAATGAGATATTGTGCTGTTTTGTACTTCATACCAGCTCTAAAAAATGTGTCAGTGCCCAATTCTCCGCATCCTTGTTGAAGCAATTGCGTGAGGCATGAGGACAATGTCCAAAACAAATTGAATATTCTTATCAATTTGAAATAGAATATATTCAATTTTTCAAATTCTCAGTTTTATGAGTTTTATGAAGCAAATGAAATATGGATTTATATGAAACTTCTCCTTTTGAGCTATTCGTTGTCTCCTAGTATTACTAAACCCTTTTTAATTTCCAAAGCTGTAAAAAAATAGTAAACCAAATCACTAGGCCTATGTATTTAGAATATTTTTTATAAAACAAACTCATTGAATATGCCTTGTATATGTTGTTCATATTTCATATTAAAAAGAGTTATTTTAGTATTTATTCTGTCCCGTCTGTCTCTGGAAGCATGTGATAATAATTCTGATATATGTCAAATTTAACAGATCTCTGTCAGATGCTTCATGTGGTTCCATCAGCAAAAGATCTCGAATTGACAACGGTGCAGCAGGAGATACAAATGAAAAAATAAGCAATGCATCAACTCATTCACTTGAAAGAAAAGTGCACAGACTTGAACAGGAAAAATTGAATCTTGAAAGAAAATTAGCTGGTATGATATGTAGAAGATTTATTTTACCTTATTCAAATACACAACCCGAGCCACCAACCTTGTCAACTTTTTTCTAATCCAGAAGTTTATGTTTAAAAGAATGCGATCACAGGAGTATATGAACGTTTTTTTTCCTCTTGTCCATGCGTGTTAAATCTTTCGCCGTTTTTCTTGCTGCCTTTATTACTGTAAGGCTAAGTGATAGCCGCATTCTCTTCTCTTACTTTTCCTGTGGTGCTGTTGTCGCTAATTTTTTAATTAGTTGTGCACATGGAAAAACTATTTTTTTTTGTGGTCCAGATAGATTTCTGAAGTAGGTTATAATATGGTCCATCGACTAGAAATGTTGCACAACCCTCTCCCAAACCAAATTCAAAAACACTATAGTTTGTTATCGTTTCAGAAGCTCTTGACACTTTAGTGGTCATCCGTAACATTGCTCAGAAATCAATACTCTTTATATCTAAATGAGGTTACATGATGTTTCTGTTAAAAAAATTTCTTGATCAAAATCGTTTTAAAAGAGCACCGACGGGTGAAAAGCATTGACCGTCACATTTTTTCATGATCATATTTTTTTCTTCTTTACAGAAGTCAGCTTTGAAGTATTAAAACTTTGATCTTGCGGAGTTTAACTTTCATTTTCATTATGTTAATATTGAATACAGAATCAGCGAAAAACAATCACAATGCCAGCACAAAGGTTGAACATGATCAACTGGCACAGAGTGGAAGAGAAGATGAATCAAAGAAATTGAAAGATGAAATAAATTTATTACATAAAAAATTAAATGCAGCTGATCAAGAATTACAAGCTGCTGATGTATTACGGAGAGATTTGGAAGGTATTGTAGTATTTATTTATATTCAACATTATTGAGGTCAGTTGAGGCAAACACTCTCAACAACATAAAAATATTCTAAATATCATTTTGAAGGAATAAGGTAGTAAGGATTAGCCCTCTGTTATCAAATAAGTGAAATTTGACATATAAGTAAAATTTTTTATATTGTGGTATTAGCTGCATATAATGCCTCACCATATTTCTACCGTACTTATTTTTAGAATCCAATGGCACGTCAGTTGTCTGTAACTTTGCTCAGAGTTGGTTGGTCCTTCCATTTTGATTGAGTGTGTGACCTTGCTTTCAGCGAAGTTAATCCTCTGAAAAATGAAATATAACTTCTCACTTGAAATTTGCCTTCAAAATTCAAATTTTATTCAAAGAATGATTTATAATATAATGTTCCATAGTGTTTTTGACATAGCCACTATCAGTACATATGTAGTGCATTTATAAAAAACCTTTTAATTAGATGCTCACCAGAAAGTAAAGGCTTTAGAACGTCAGCAACGACATCTCAAACAAGAACGGGATGACACTCACAGAGATCTAGTTGAAGTCAAAGAGAGAGCGAGAGAGCAAGGTCGACAACTCAAAGATACTCATGCTCAGAGGAAATTAGCTATGGAAGAGTTTACTGAAATTAATGAAAGGTAATAAAGATATTGAGCAGAGGGATATTTTAGTTGTTCAACTGGCGATTTGGGGTCATTCACTGATATCTTTTGCAAAATGTAGTTGAACATTTGAGAATTGAAATGATTCAAGTACTCATGTAAATGAGTATTCATAGTTTCAAACTGCTTTCTTTTCTACACAATTGTACTAATTTTGATGGGATTTGACTCTAAAAACACATTTTCAATTTGAGAACAATTGCAAAAAAAAACAGGGCTGGGAAGCTGGATTGAAATCTCAATGGCTTCAGATTCAGAACCAGCTCTGTGGCTTTCTTTTTTGTATGTGGAGCAGTTCTCCAGCTCCATAGTCATTGATGTGTTTCGGTTATGATCACAACCATGAACATCAGCCCAAATGCAGTTTTGTGAAAACAGGACTTGGAATTACGATTGTACATATTCAAATTTAAGATTGAGACTGTAAATTTTCAAATTATAAATTTGAAAAAGGATTTACCGGTAGATGTTTAGGTGCTGACGTCAATAAAATGCCCGGTAGCTTTGGCTCCAGCACTATGTATTGTATTGAGTTTAGCTCCAACTCAACCAAAGCAGGATATGCAAACCAAGCTTTGAATTTATAAATCTTTCAATGTCGATGTTATACTTGTTTGTTTACTATTTACTTTACCTGTATATGTTGTACTTTGGGATACCTAGTTTATAATCATCAAGCTTTCATAATTGCCCTTACTAAAAGATTAGGCATCCTGTTTCTAACCTACCATCTAATTTCATGTCTGTATGCGTATTTCCGTCTTCCGCTTCGAACAAGGTCCCATACTACAAGTATCCACTCAAATCTAATGATTTGTAAGGAACTTCTATTATTCAAATTTAATCTCTCCAGTGTGGCCTTGCCTACCCATTTTATTGGACAATGGGCACACTGGTGCAGGCATGGGATTTTAACCACGGATGTGTAATCTGCGATGCCAACACATTTGAGTATTAATGCTTTAACCGCACCCCATATGAATTATTTATATTTATTTTTGATTAGGTTAACAGACGTACGAACTCAGAAAAAAAAATTGGCTCGACAACTTCGGGAAAAAGATGAAGAATTGGAAGCTGCTACAAGTCAGTTTAAACAAGACTTAAGAAGATCTGAAAAAGCTAAAACATCTGTAAGTAATGATTTTGAAAAGACAAGAAAATGCACTAAAATATGCAGTTACAGGGCGGGGTGGATGAGACAGAGTAATCTTCTGTTTTGATCTGAAGTTTTAAATATATTCTAGAGTAGGTAATAAAAATGAAAAAGAAATGATTATTTGATTAGCTGTTTAGTTTTTCATTTTCAGAAAATAAATGAGGCCTCTGGTTACTTTAATTTCCTATAATGCTAATTTTTCAGATGGAACTACTTCTAAATTTTCTTAGAATCGAGAAATCGATATATAGAATATAACTAATTCACAATTGGTGCGAGTATTTGGTGAATTTAGACATCTTTGGGTTAGTGTTCCAGTGTTGTCTTTATTGAAGCACTCACTCAACAGACTCATTGATGTAAATTGTAGCGAAATTTTTTGAAAACAAGCAAAATTCAAATTCAAGTTTAAATTTGGTTTCGAAGGAGCATATAGACAATATGAAAAAATGTAGAGGTGAAATATTTGCAAGTACTGAAAATTAGAAACTGATTAATCCAGTAGTTGAGGAAATCAGTTGAAAACTGAAACGCAATTTATCAAAATGATTAACATTGTACCCAAAAGGAAATATCAACAAATTTATACTCTGAATCGTATTAATGAGCCTATTCATGAGATTCGTGTAATGAAGAAGTGTGCAACAGGCAACCCACGGGCCCCAACCCAGCCCACCAAGTCATTCAGTGTGGCCCTTGTCAACACTCAGATTTTCCCCATGAAGCATAAAATCGCAACCCGACAGTTTATGTCAGAAAAGGCGCTCACGTGGGTAAAAATACATAATGTTTTTTGCTGCATGGGTGGATGGCTGCATTCTCTTCTTCTGTTAACAAATGTTGTAAGAACTTGAAATTGCAAGTATCTCTAATATGTTATTAAATAAATAAAATTTTGTATCGTAAGAATTTTTTAGTTTGTTGTATACGTGGAAAAAGTTAATTTTTTGTATGGTCCTGTTAGATTTCTGATGATGGTTATATGGCAATCCGACGAAAAATGTTGCCCACACCTGGTTTAATGTAAATTTGACTTGTAAACTCATCACAGCTGGAAGACCAACTAGAGCAGAAAACAACAGAAGTCCTCAAACAAACTAAACTGAGAGAATTGGGTGATGCAAGAGTTCGACAAGTTGAGGAGGAAATTGAAGAATTGAGGTCAAAACAAAAGTCAATGGCTGGTATGTGCTATTTGTAAATTTTTCAAAGTGAAAAAATCTTTCATACAAGTATAATTTTTTTGATTTGTCTATTGAAATCACTTTCAATTCAGATCATCGAAATAAATCTGTTGTAACAACATTATTTTGATTATACTCAATAACTTAGTAATTCCATGCTTTTGAATTTATAAAATATAGCATCAATTTTTAATTTAAGTAATTTGGCATCGTCATAGAAAATGAAATATATTCTGAATTTGCCATGCACAAATTATTGTATATTCGATGAAATATAAGTGAAGGAAAATCTATTTTAGTCTTTTTTTCAAGTGTCAAATGCTCGAAAGTGGTGGTTCTCAACCTTTATTTTTTGTGGCCCATTTTTAGTGTCAAAATTATTCTTGGCCCACGTCATAAAATAGATTTGTATTAATAGGCTAATAGTAAAAGTTTCAATGATCAAACTAATCCTTGTGTCTATTTATAAGCTTGTCAAGTTGAACTTCCAAACCTTGGTTCAATTTCAAGCATAAATGATAAAACTATTTTTCAATTTGGAGTTGATGACGTTGCCTTCGATAGACATGTAGCGTAGGCCCAATCACAACTCCAGGTACTTTTCAAAAATCCTCAAACCCTCAGGTATCTATTAGTGGGACATATTTTGGAAATAATATAATCTATGGCGAATTATTCCTAATATCAAGAATTCACTATTTCAAATGCATCAAGAACATTCTTTTCATATTTGACATCCCTGCTTATTTTTCAGCCGATGTTCCTTCATCCTCTCATGAACAACAAATTCAGCAACTTCAAGAGACCGTATCAAGATTACGACAAGATGCAGAGAGATCGGATGTTACTCAGCGCGAGGAACTATCTCGAAAAGACACGATGCATGCATCTGAAATAAAACACCTCAAAGTAAAAATTCTGGAGGCAGAAAGTCAGCATGTCGCTCTACAAAGAGAAATTATGATTCTCAAAGATAAAGTTGAAAAGACAAGAAGAGAAAAGTAAGTTGAATTACGTGGATAGTTTGATTAGAACAAAAAAAAAAAATATTGCCTAACATGCTAAGGTTATGGAATTCTAGATAATGATCTAGGGTTAGAAAGCTTTGATTTCAACAATGTTAATGCTTTTATGCACCAGTGTCATGGTGAGGTTCTGCAAACTACACACGTACTTTCCCGTAATTAATTCTAAATGACTGGTATTTCAAGAGATTTATGTGGAAGCAGTAAATGAAATAGTGTAAATATATGCCATATTTACTTTGTGAAATGTAATATTAATTAGTTTTTTTCTCTGAAAGGTTTCATTTCACCATTAGATAATCCTAATTCTATCATGTGATTAATAAAAACAGAGTGTTTAAAGTAAAAATATCTTTAGTCACCGGCAGTTATCTAATTGAACTTTAGGAACTCCCCTGCAGGGAAATAAGCAGCTCAGCTGAAATCAAATGACTCATCATTCTTAATACATAATATTTTTGAATGAGCAATATCAAATACTAAATTTGGTCATTTACAAAAGTCATTGTAAATTAATGGGAATTCGGTATTCAAATATTAGATTTGTTATGTGACATCCCTGTTCTATGTCAAAAATTTCTCACTTTCAATATAACTTTTGTCATTTACCACAGCAATCTTGAACAGCAAGAAGCCATAAAAGACGTCAAGTTGAAATATGAAAAACAAATCAAACTCGAATCTGACAATGCTGTATCGTTACAAGCTGAAGTCGAAAGATTAACGTTGGAACTTGAGAAATCTCAACAAAGCGTTAAAGCTTTGGAAGAAGACATTCGAGAAGGCAAAGAAAGAAAAGAAGACGTTCAGCAATGGGAAGCTCAAATAGCTGAAATTATTCAATGGTTCGTTGCTCCTTGTGACTTGCATATGACTTAGGCAATTCAATAATGTCCAAAACTAGGAAAATATTCCATTGACGTTTAACTATTATTATCAAACCAGTCAAGAAAAAACTTTCAATTTTTCGATATTCTCCAATGGGAATTTCGGCCCTCTGCATCCTGGCCACGGCTCTAGATTAGAACTATTAGGTATGCGTTGAAAAATTTGAACTATTCAATTCGATGAAAAATTTCGATTTTTCTCACTCTTATTCAAAACTGAAATAGCTTCATTTGTCAAGCCCATGTAACAACTTTCTACTTTTTTCAGGGTTTCTGATGAAAAAGATGCTCGGGGATATCTGCAGGCGTTAGCTGGTAAAATGACAGAAGAATTGGATACTTTAAAAAGCACCAGTGCTAGAGCTAATACCATGGACAAATGGCAAGCACAAAGAAGACAAAAAGTGGATCGTCAGGTATTTCTATTACTATGTCTTATGAATATGTCCGCCAAAAGATTTTTTGTTGTAAAAACTGCTCTCTTCCAAAGGTTGGCACACATGGATATTTATTGATTTAAAAAAAAAATTTGTTTTGCCCAACCCTGCTCTACCTCTAATCCCTCCACAAACATGCTCTTAGGAATGGCTGGGGTCAGATTGATTGTTTTATTGCAGTTGTTCAGCCTACCTAATTGGTCACAGCGTGAGAGGCTTTTGGGTGCAGGTTGGCTACTAGATTGTTTGGGTTAACTTCAAAGTTTACTTGTCCTAAAAGTAGAATAAACATGTACAATTGTGCATTGATATTGAAAGGATGAAAATTTTAATAACCACTCAGTGGTTGGCATATCGTTATTGTTATCCTGTGAGGCTGTGTAAATATGTGTGGGATGATCGCTGGAGGGTGGTTTGGGTATGGTACTTGCATCTGAAACAAATAACTGGTCGACTATTTTCATACCCGATATAGACTGTTAACCGGACGAGAGAACGTGATGTGCTGTAGGATTAAGCTGCCATATTGTCATTCCTTTCTCTCTGGGTCAATATGAAAATCATATCCACTTCAGACTATTATTGATGCCATGATAATATTATTTTTATCTTTATACCAGGCAATTCTTGAATTGCAATCAAATCTACAATCAGAAATTCAAGCCAAACAAAAGATATCAGAAGAATTGACTCGTGCTAAGGAACGTAATCTCGTTATTGAAAAGTAAGTATAAACATTCCTAACTGATCAATTTATTTTCTGAATCACTTGAATTCAGGTTAGTTATGAGTTTGAATTCTGTAAACGTGTTAACTGTGTTTGGTTGATCAAAGGTATGGAAATCAGTGAAAATATGCTATACATTTAGTATACTATTGTTCCGCAAATGTTGATATTAATAATAATATTCTATGATTTTATGTACTGTTGCCCCTTTACAGGACTATACAATTATCATGTATTGTGCCACCAGTAATCTAAAAAAAAATTACCGGTAATCTTGGTGATTGTCAATGATTTTAATTACATCGAAGATTACATTGGGGAGGCTATAAGAACATATTTTGGTCAGGTACTGTTCACAAAAAAACAAGTTTTGCTATAATTTTAACATGCTCTTATCCCCTTCCTCTTTCGCTCAACATGTAAACATGTTCACTCATAGCTCAGTCATACTTATCATCGAATTATTCTTAACATTCGCGAGTATAGTAGATAAGACACAATGCTACAATTTTACAATATTGGATGAGCCGTCTACGATGTACACAACATAACTTTTCATTTCTATAATATCCGCATTGCAGCGAATTGCAAGAAGCCAACATCACAATAGAAGAGCTCAAAGATGAAAACGTAAATCTACGAGAAAAGAATGATTCTACATCAAAGAAACGTTAGTCTCCATTTTTTCTTCGATCATCATAATTGACTTTAACCAATTAGTTATTCAGGAATTAGTACTTTAATTTTAATCTTGAAGATGTAAATTTTTTTTTCTTCACAGAATCAGATCGTCGCCACTCCCAACTCTCGTTTTTAAACTTCCTCAAAGACTCGTCTCCCTCACCTGTTACTCATATTGTGGACAACTACGAACCTACGCAATCTGATATGGATTTTAATATCGATTTTAACCAGTTGGGACGCCTTGAATCCATCAAATCAGGTCAACAACACGACCCTAACCAACAACAACAACAACAAAGGTCACAAATAAGATATAAATCTGGCTCTATGAGGTCGGATTCATCTATAACAAGTGAGGAATCCAGTCAAAATAATCATTATGAACAACGTAGTAGAGAGTCTAGTAGTATTAAGGTAAGAGTTTTTAGTATTTTATTTTACTATAATATTTTTTTTTTCATCAAAATTTTTTATTATAGAATAATAAATGTTTTTCAAATTTTAATGCATGATAGAACAAGGCTATATTTTGAAAACATAATTGTCACTATCAAAATCCACAGAAAAACTAAAAATGTTAACTTACTTTTACTCACTTAAAGTGATAAGTATTAGTTCAGTTTGTCTTAATATCAGAATTGACAGTTACGTTACATATTGCAACTGCTTTTGAGATGATAAATCAAGTAGTTCAATCATTATATTCGATATCACTTTTATCATTTGTAATTGTTTAAATGGATGGACCTGAATGAAATTAATGGATTTTGAATTCTGTCATTTACCGGATGATTCCTAATGATTCAACTTGTTGCGTAAAATTACAGAATAGTATGAAAATAAGGAAATAATTTTATACGGTGTTCGGTCGCTTTGTGATTGAGCATTGAACTCAAATATCATAGCATCGCAAGTTCAAATCTTGGGTTCAAATACCATGCACCCATTACATATCAGTGATTGGTTGTGCAGAGCCTTGAGCCAGAGAGAAAGGCTGATAAATGCTCCATGGAAAAACAATAATCTTTGTATTATTACTTATCGATTTTAATCGGTAAGTATGTTGATAGGTATTTGTCTGTCTGTCTGTTTGTTTGTCTGTTAGATGCACGCGATATCTCAGGAAAGTGAGATTAAATCTGCTCCAGATTTAGTATGTGCATTCATCATATCTCGGACCAGAAGCCTATTGATTTTGGGCGAATTATGTCGTATAATTGGCGAGTTATTAATTAATTAGTGATGGGACACAAGGTGTCACTATGGAGTAAGAGCGCTGTTTTGGGGGACCCCCTAACTTTCAATCGATAAGTCTTTGGTCTGTGACCGATATTCTCGTGTTATAACTTGTCGACACCATTTTCATATAATACCTAACTCAACTTAGTGGACCTTAATTGTTTATTTTATTTTTTGGCTTCATTTTTTAGTTTAACACTTTGCAATTTTCCGTTAGCAGGAAATTGAAAACTCAAAAGCACATTCTTCTTCATCTCCCACCAGACGAGTTCCAAGTTTCAAACCAATTCAGCAACAGGTGCCTAAACCGAAAGCTCATGCCTTCATTGTGAAGACATTTTCTACGGTAAGTGACTTAATGTTCTCATGGTTGGATTATCATATTATTTGGATAAATATTGCAAGATTTATGTCATATTCATTACCTGGTAGCTGTTTTCCTGATCATGTTGGCTTGAATTCTTGAATTAAATGATGTTTACTTGCTGTAATGCACCACCATATTTGTATGGGATCAGGTGATGTGCACCATATGCATTTCACTGGTCACTTGTATTGTTTCCCTCTCTTGATTGATTGCATGTGAGATGACCTTACTTGGATTTTCAAAATGGCTCAGAACTTTTTAATTCAGAAGGAATTTGTTTTTGGCCAGTATTGGGGAAACACAAGATATTAATTAACTCAACTCGAGTTGAACTCAAGTTTCCATTTATAAAAGAATCGAAGAAACTTGACTCATCTAAATTCTTAATTGAGTAACTTATATTCATACTCAACTAATCGCGCGTGAGACTTCAGTGATTGACTTGACTAAAGATTGTGATATCTTGAATTTGGGTTTTCGAACCAACAATATTTTTTAACCACTGAGCTCTGCAAGACTCTGTATATCATGCTTTTTGGGGAATCTGTGAGTTACAGAACATGGGATTTCCTATACTTTGAATTCTATTACAGTCTCTGTCACTCATCACTAACCATTGTTTTCATGCATCTTCTGTTGTTGATTTCAGCCAACCAAATGTAATCACTGTTCATCATTGATGGTTGGATTAATGAGACAAGGAACTACGTGTGAAGTTTGTGAGTTTTCTTGCCATGTCTCTTGTGCTTCAAAAGCTCCTGCAGTTTGTCCTATTCCAAGGGAGCAATGTAAGTATCTTGGGTTTGATGACAATACCAAATATGGTTGTTTAGAATAGTTTCTTTTTTAAAATCCATAATAAATAATACAGGTTACTCTTAAGGCCATGCACATTTATCGATAGTTTTAGCCCCTACAGATATATCAAATAAAGTTGAAAACTTAAATAAATACTGATAAAAAATAAAACTAACAAAACAATATATTCTAAATGAGTCTTGCTCAGCAGATCAAATTGTACAATTTAATGTAAATTTAGTTGAAATAAATATTCTGACTGAATTTTTATTTTGCACTGGCGGAAGTTTAGTCTATTTTTTTTGTCTTTAACATCAGATATTAAATGCAGAAAGTGACAAATTCTCAAATGAAACCTATCTGAACTGTTTCTAAATTATCAATGAATTTAATATATTGAATACATCCAATTTCAAATGCATTTGAATATTCATTTTTCACATCGTCAATAGTAATAAAATTTAACATCAATCAGGATTTCAATTCGAAATTGGCAGCAGCAGTTAAACTTATCGTATTTCAAATGTACTTTTCTGGGATAATATTGTACTTAATTCCGCTGCACACATCTTTTCGATACTGTGTATATGTTAATTAAGTTAACTCTTCAAAATACCTTCAATTCAGAATTTGAATTCTTTTTGTTTTTATTATAAATATCCCACACATTCTAAGTTGAAGTTTCTCATGCATTCTTATTTTTACCAGCTAAAAGACCAAAAGGTATTGATCCTCAGAGAGGTATTGGAACTGCTTATGAAGGTTTCGTCAAAATACCGAAGCCTATGGGAGTTAGAAAAGGTTGGATAAAACAATTGGCAGTCGTCTGTGATTTCAAGGTATGTGATTTTTAACATATATTCAGATTAGGTTTATCATTTCCGCGCTCTAGAACTAGTTTTGTTCGCCTTCTTTACATCAAGTTGTGTAAATGGACTGAAACTTATGGGCAGGGGTATATTCACTTGGCTGAAACTGACAGTCCCCGAACCCGTAATAGAACTAAAATAAGGAGAATCGGAATAAAATTAGTCCTTCCAAAATATATGGACCTTCCCTCGACCTTCGAATTCTGAAAAATTATTCTTATACTTAACCATTGCAAAATTATCGGGGCCTATTTTAAGAGTGGTTTCGCGAGTTGGCGCTTGTAAAATGGGGTATGTGTTTCAAACCATCATTATGATTTATTGCATACAACAATCTCTTTTTTAAAAGTACCGGTAAAGAATTTTAGCCCAGTCTATCACAGCTATTTCTACACTAATTTTTATTTTTGCAATCAAATTAAAACTCCTAAGAAGACGGAAGGATCATTGAATTATCTGATTTATATTTAAATTTCCGAAACACAACTGAAAACTAACGAATATAGTTCAAAAACGTGAAAACGAGGTAATGTTTAAGACCACGCCTGAAAATTTGTTTGAGTAAGAAAAGTGTCTGAGCGGATGCGAAAAGAAGGCATTGTTACGTCACTCTTTGCATCTTGCTGATTGGCCAATGTCACAAAGTAAACAAGGAAGTCGATGCTCGGGGAAAGGTCCATTAGCTCCTTACATATCAGTGGCTGCTTGTGCAGAGTCATGTTTGGAGCGAAATGATAGGAAAAGCATATTTTTTGGATATTTCAATTTTTTCTTACATGGCAATGGTTGTTTTGTTTCTCTGAAGACGTGTGTTGAATGGTAAAATGTGAACACGCAGCATAGTTCCCCTTCAGCATGAAAATTGTTCTCGGTACAGCGTGACAACATTCTCTGTTACATATAAAAATAAAATTATTGACTCAATGTTCACAATAACTGGGTAAATTGGAATTTCTCGAATTAAAAAGAATTCAATGATTATTTTCAGCTCTTTCTCTACGATTTGAATGAAAATAGAAGTGGTGGTGGTGGACAACCTGGTTCTCATCAACCTAGTGTTATTGTCAGTCAAGTCATTGATATGAGAGATGAACAGTTTGAAGTCAAATCAGTGACGGAATCAGATGTTATACATGCTAACAAGAAGGATATACCTTGCATATTTAGTGTATGTATTATGTGGAAGCTTTTTATTGAGGGCTACTGTAAGTCAACCAGTCAGTTACGTAGCTGGTGACAGGTAGCCCGAATGGTCATTTTTGCCATGGAATGGCATGAGAATATTATATATATTTTAATTTTCTTATTGTACTCGTTCGCCTGGATATCTGATAAAAAATGCTTTGGCTGATTGATTTCATATTGTTCCTTGTTAACTGGAAAGTGTAATCGGACTGAAGATCATTATACATCTATTTTCTATGCCGAATGGTTTTTGACATAGTACATATTGACCAAAATTAGTCATAAATTGTTAGTCACAAAATTATCAAACTTAACTAATTTTTATGTGTAAACATTTTATTTTTATTTTCAATCAAGATTTTTCCATTGTTAACATTATATGCTTACTTGTAAAGTTTTAAAAATCTTTTTCTATGACTGCCGATTTTGCTCCATATGTTGAAAATTTCTCAATTTCTAGGTTGTTGCATCATGTATGTCTCGGCCCAAACTTCGCACTCAAGTACTTATGCTTGCCGACACAGAATCTGATAAGAATAAATGGATCGGAGCATTTTCTGAACTTCATCGCGTTTTAAGAAGAAATCAACTCAAAGATAAATCAGTATTTAAACCTCTCGAAGCTTACGATTCTACATTACCAATCGTCAAGTCTGCAATGAGTGCAGCTATCATTGACAGAGACAGGATAGCTATTGGAAATGAGGAAGGTCTCTATGTAATTGAACTGCGTACTGATGGTAAGTTCATTACTAAACATTTGATGATGTTGTTGCTGTAGCTCCATGTTCTTGCTCTTATCATTTGCCTGATGTTTAAGCTTTCTTTGCCCAAAGTGTATGATGAGACCCTAGGTACATAAAAACCTGTTGCGTTATTAAGCATGTCTTTAAGCAGCTTTTCATTCTGAGCCAGAGGACACTAGGATATTGTGTATTGAGCTACAATTTCTGCTTGTTTGCCTCCCATACGAATCCGCATGTAGCACTTGCTATAAGGGTGCTGAAATGAGATAGTACGAAAGTTATAAACCTTCCCTTTTCACAAAATTTACATACTTTTTTGTGGAAAAAGATTGTCATTGTTTTTGGCCACAGATTCAAAATAGCCAGATCAAATATTGTGTTGTGTTTACATGTGATTCCTATGCATTTTGACATTATCTAAAATAAATATTACTGTATTGTATTAGATCTCAATTTCTCTTGGGGTTTCAGTGGTTGTCCGCATCCTTGCTCAGGAATACCCTTCTGAGCAAGTCCACATCACATGTCTTTGCTTTGGGGAAATTCTGTTGAAAAATCATCTTTCGAAGCTGCTCACATGTTAGGAATCAGGATTGAGTCAAAAAACTATTCAATTTTATTTTTCATTCATTTCATCGCAGAAATTGTCAAAGTCGGAGATGCCAAGAAGGTTCATGCCATTGAAGTTTTACCAAAAGCTCAATTGGTTGCTGTCATATCTGGAAGAAACAAACATGTGAGACTCCATACATGGGGAGCTCTCGATGGATCAATGCACGATGATACAGCTATAAAAATAGAAGACACAAAAGCATGTACTGCTCTGTGTTCTGGAACTGTAAGACAAGGAACAACATCCTGTCTCTGTGTAGCAATGAAAAAGTAAGTTTTTAATTTCTTTTTCCATTATCAATGTATGGAAGGCTAAGCACCAGATACCTTGTCATACTCGAGTAGCATCAATGTTTTGGGAGACTGAAAAATTACCTATTTGGCATAGATTAACAAATATATCTTTCTCCCGGTTGAATATAACCGGCGATGGTCAAAATCAACTATTTCACTTGACTGAATATATTTGAATCTTTGTTTTTGGTAGCTCAACATTGGTGCAATTCAAACCTGGTCCTTTGCTTTTTGAAAACTAAAAAATAGAAACCCAATTAATAAATTCCTTTTCTTAACCATCCTGCAATACCAAATCCAGACTCATGGAAAATACATCAACTTCTCTCTATGTGTTCTTCTTTGAAAGAGACTACATTTTGATATATTTGATTTCATAATGAGAAATATTATTTCAGAATCTATTGGTAATATATTACATTTTCCGGTTTTGGCCCTCTGGTGCAAATTTGAATCTCTTGAGGTAAATTGTTTCTATTTTTGTCTATGGAACCACAAGTTTGGGGATTTGAAGAAAAATAGTACTTTAGAGAGAAGTACTTTAGTTATTGCTTGTTTATCTAGACATGTCAACGTGTATGAGTTGAATTCAACAAAGACTCGACATAAAAAAGTGAAAGACATCATGCTGCCCAACCCAGCTCAGTGGATGGCTGTTTTTAATGAGAGATTATGTGCCGGATATGTTTCTGGTTTTGCTTTGTTCAGTATACAAGGGGATAATAGTCCTGTCCGTAAGTACATTTTTAATGTTATTAAGAATCAGGTATGAAGTCTTGCTTCGGATAGATGGCTTTCTCTATTAATCATGCATGCTGTATAGAATATGTATTTGACTGGTTTTTAGATTTTGTCTTTAAAGCCATGCATCGTTAGATAATGAAAAGCTTGACAAGGGTTTCAAAAGTAAAAAGGGTGAATTTTGACAATTTTAATTAAAAAAACTACAAAGTATAAGCTGCCTTCTGAGCTTGTTTTCCAACCATAGTTTGAAGCCATCTTAATATATATACACCAAAGCATTTCAATATAAAGTAACAGATGTTAAAAAGTCAAAATGCATATATTTTCCTCATTTTTAAAAACGTTTTTTTTTTTTCAAGTTTCTCCCTTTTGGGATAAAGCTATTGATATGCAAGTTTGTTATTGGTTCTCATGTTATGTTTTGAAATTACAAGTACATGTATCTAACTTTGTTCTCTACAATTACTATTCAATTTTTTGTTGTTGGTAATAGCTGTTAGGAAAAATACTCGTGTTTGAACATAATAGAATCATCAATTTATTGTGTTTGATAAAATCTTTATTTTTTTTATATGCATAAATGTAATTTTATATTTTATTTTTCCGTTAATATTTTAGCTCTGATGAGTTGCGATGACAAATCACTAGCATTTTTAACCAATCCACCTGTCGATACATACTGCGCTGTCGAAATAACTCATAAAGAATATCTTCTCTGCTTTTCAAGTAAGTAACCAATTCTATTAGCAAGATGGCCTAATGATGCAGCATGCTATATATCTGATATTTTATTAACTTTCAATTCTATTTTTTAGATAAATGAATTGTGTTACAACACCATATGCTATAATCATATTCAATACATAATTTTCTGAAAAATGCTGTTTTTGAATATTGAATATTTTAAAATCTTACTTGCATTCAAAGCTATATTCTTCAAACATTCTGGCTTCTAAGAACAATTTAATTATCATTTCGACAGTGATATTTTATTGTTTCAAATGATTTCTTTTAACCCCTTCATTCTATAGCTTGTGGGGTTTATACTGACTGGCAAGGCAGGAGATCAAGACAACTAGAGTTAATGTGGCCTGCTCCACCATCTGCTATAAGTAAGTAATGAAAATTGGATTTGATCTTGTTTTAATCTATGTGAGGTGCAAGAAAAATAAGAAAGTATATTATTACCATAAACTTCACCTAAATAGACCTTATTTCAGATATTTATTATAATGTCCGATCAGTTGGGATTATTTTAACAATTATGAAATATATGCTGCATATATGGTTCAAATCGAATATCTTACAATTAGAATACATTCTGATCTCCAAATATTAAATATTTTAAATTTGCTGATGTTCAACAGAGAAATTTGCAAAAATCATTGTAAATTGCTGGAAATTGAATTTGGTAATAATTGTTTAAATATTTATCGCAGTCTCAGAAATTGAACAAATTCTATTTTATATATAACCATCAGATTTCAAATGCTTTAAATGGAATATCTTTTATTGTTCGAAAAGTCATATTCACTATGTCAAAAATCATCAATTTCAAATGTATTCGAATATCCAATTCATATTTGACATCTCTAACTTTAACTCCCTTCGTAAATATATATTCTCAATTTCTATAAAACATCTTTACTTTATTCATTTCTTCTCAGCATACAATGCACCATACTTGATTGTTTATTCCGAGAATGCAGTCGATGTTTTCGATATCTTGGAAATGGAATGGCTGCAAACAATTCCACTTAAAAAAGTTCGTCCGCTATCAAGAGATGGAGCACTCAATCTTGCTTGCTCTATGGATCCACCTAAACTTGTGTATATGAAAAATAAATATGACGGTATGTATGTTGCGCACCAATTAAAGTGGTGTTCGTGGCATGTCGGCTGTAATTGCATCCCAGGATATGAATCAAGATTTACATCCTGTCAATTACAGGGATTTGTGTTTGCTCACCACTTGAAATCATACTATCAAATATATTAGGTAATTTATTTTGGGAACCTACAAATATAATAGTTTACATGAATCTTGTGTAATCCAAATTAGATGTGCATCCTTTAACAGATCATTCAAAGTTTGAGAAAATGCATTTTTATTTGTTGGACACTACGTGTACATGTCTAGATGTTTTTTCACGGAATGGTTGCTGATAAAAAATCACTAATGAATCAACTGTTTTCAAATTTTCTGAACTTGAAGCTGCTCAAAAGCTATTACTTTTGTATATTTTCTAAAATTCTGTCTCGTATAGGACTTGATATTTCATCAATAATTTTGCTGTTTTATTTTGATTTGTGGAAATACTTTTATTTGACATTTGACCCTAATGTCCGTAAATTTGAGCATTACTCTCTTGTTTCTCTTTTTTGTCTTTGTATGTTTTTATTTTGAATCTTTCCTGTTATAGAATGGCAAATAATTTTTTTCTTTTATATTTTCAGAAGGAGACGAGCTTCAACTTTCTGAATTGACAAGCGTTGGGAAGAGACAATATTACAAGGGAAAGACAAAAAGACGATTTGCATTCAAGGTACCGCCTGAGGAGTTGAGAAGCTCTCTGAGAACGTAAGAATTTATCTGTGTGTTTGTAGCATTTTGAATAAATGAAAATTATAAAATAACTTACAGTATGTGTTTTTAAGTAGAAAAACTTGCTATCATGAATAATCTTGAGTCAAGATTCTTGACAACCAAACTAGAAAACAAAACATGTGAATAAGTTGGTTGTTAAGTAAGTCTATTTCCCTGGAATTATTTCTGGGGAAATTTCAATATCAAATGTGGAGTTTTCGTCTCATTTGGCTTATACATAATTGCAAGCAATGACTTGGAATTCCATACTAAAACGATAAATTTCATTCTTACTGTACTAAACTGGTACTTGTATATATTTCTCGAATCAGGCCATTATAACCATTTTAACATGGAAATTTTAGTCAAATACTTGTTTCTACAAATCGTTATAAATTTATGCAAACATCAGGGCTAATTTTGTATACTTGAAATGCTTTTTAATCAGAAATTCCTTTTTTTTTATTTTGAATTTGAATAATATAAATAGATGACAGTATCAAAAATATCATGACATATATATACATATTGTCACTACAAAAATTAAAAAAAGTACGGTATCTGTAAAAAAATTCAATTTTTAAACCAACCTTAAATTCTCTGCGCATTCCCCAGCACTTTTCAAGTTCATTTGTAAGAAGCATTCTGTAGATACCAGCTTCATGTACGTATTCAGATATAGTTTCAAGCTCTTTTTCATTGTTTTTATCATTTTGACTCTGAAAAATATAGTGAGTTATTGAAAAATCCTGAACGTCGAAGTCAACTGATTTCTGCACCAGCCAACTTCAACCATGTTGCACACATGGGACCAGGAGATGGAATGCAAATTCTGAAGGATTTACCTGGGGTAGGTTATATTGCATGAATGCTGTTTGTGGATTGATAGGCCTTCTCATGATTGTATTCTTAGGATTTCATTTAATTTTGTGTTGATAACTTATTGAGATTATTTCTCTATGGTTGCCTTAAAGTTTCTGTGCTAACAATCCGAAGTATAAAATCTAAAGAAAATATATGCGTTTTCAAAATGCTGAACAGACAAGACCAGGGCTGCGAAAGCAGGGAAAATTGGCACCATACTCCCGGTCCCGAGCTATTTAAAAATTGGCTCTGACTTCTGGCTGACACAATTTTGACTTAGTTTGACTAGTTATGTATGGCTGCCTTAAAGTTTCTGTGCCAACAATCTGAAGTAAAAAATTTGAAGTTCTCGAATTGCTGAACAGGGCTGCAGAGTCAAGGAAATTTGTACCAGACGATATTGAAAATGACTCAGACTTTTGGTTTACGTCTTGCTGTTTACGTCAGATTGAATAAAATTTCAGTTCAAAGCAGGGAAATCGAGTTTTGGCCATATTATCTTAGATGTGTAAGCAAGTCTTATTTAATTGTCCGTTATGGACACTTGAGTTTGCTAGACTCAAATTCAGATTCCACAACCCCTGGAAATTCATTGTTCGTGTAAAACAGTACTGCTTAAAATTGCATATATTATCGCTTGACAGTTGTATATAGTACATTGTATTTCCAATACAATGGGATTGACATAACTGGTCTTCTACTTGCTACAGTCATTTTGTATTTTCAGTTTTTTCAATCTTTTTTTAATAAATACACCTGATTGCAAATTATCATTGTAGTATTGCCTGCCAGAAGGACATACATTCGTTATTGTACAATATATTTGTCTAATAAAGCATGATTTTTACCAAGGGCTGAAATGTTTGTTAAAGATTATCGTTAGTCATAATCCAACCATTCCTAAACATGTCTGTTTTCGTTGGATATGATATGATAATATCTATATGTTTGGTACTTTTTATTCTACAAAGCAGAGATGGCCAAAACATGAATACGGAAATACTATCAAATTAATTCAAGTTATATAATCGTCTCATGGATCTCTATATAAGTTTCGCTAATATTCTAGATTCAGGAAACTATTTTTTAAAGCAATGTATTTGGAGTAGTATATTTTTGATTTTGGTCATCACTGCTTCTAGGCTCATCAAAATAATTCATGTGTAACATATATTATTTTGTATAATTGCATTATGGTCTTTTGAATTTAAATTCTCTTGTGTGTTGAATTATGGGTAATCGATATTTCCCACAATTCATCAATGTTGACTCAAAAATATCTTTTGTCAAGTATGGTATAATCAAGGCCAAGCTTGATCTTTGCTTCTCAATTCATTCGTTTTTCCCTTTGTCTGTCAGCCTCCGCCGCAGTCGCACACCCATGACTTGATATCAACCCCATCCAACTTTAATCATGTGTACCACTTGGGACCAGACGTCATGGATTCGTCCTTGGTCGAATTACGGGTATGAATGGTGTTTTGCTGTGCCGGAACGTATTTGCTTGACGCAACACGGCTCACACAACTGATTCTGCTCAGATCACTCTCTCTCTTTTTTCCTACCTAATGGTGTCTACTCGCTAATACTTCTCAAACTCTTCAAGCCAAAATAACAAAGCTAGAATAAAGCTTACCATCAATCAAATTTCTCACTTCTGCATTGTGATTTGCCCTGTGCTGTCTGTAATGAGAAAATTAGTTATTAGAATATTTTAGTCAAGTTTGTGAAATATGTTGCTTTTGCAAATTTATACGATCATCATATTAGAATTTATAAAAAGAATAATTTTTTGCAATTTCACATTATCAATAAATTGACAGTCTGGTTACTATATTTCTGATGTCAGTTTATATTTCCTGTGATCAACTTGAAAAATAGTTGTTGGATTGTATGATTCTATTTGTTTCTTGAGGCTTCCGTCGTTTTCACAGCTCTCTCTCTTATGAATTAGCATTAAAAAACCCATAACAAAAATTATTTTTAGTATCAACTATCAAGTTTTTGTAATATCATGTTTTAATGCATAAAAATCACAGAAATGGAAAACTATTCTCAAAATTGAATATGTATGAAATTTTGATTTTATCACTTACTATGCTGAGATAATGTTGAATATTTAAAAAACACTTACCGGTATGTATTTTCTTTTTTTAATTTTGTGAAATGCGCTTTGGATCCCTATGAACAAATCAAATATTTATGATCCAAGTATCGCACTAAATTGCTTGTATACTTCTATGCATGATTGGTGATTGGAAGCATGTTTTCTTCATAGTTGTTAATAAATGAATCCCATTTTCTCAGCAACAAATACTATCACTTACTGATATCCTACAATTTCTCATCTAGACTGTACACTCTTTCATTTAGGGTGTATACTCTTTTTTTTTCAACTAGTTGGCTAAAATTATGCTACAAGGTATGCTTAATATTTTGGCCTTACATTTTTATGAGTTTACTGTGGTATCCAGTTTAGAAGTACTGCCCTACCCATGAATATTCTTGCACCGATATCACTACAGACTGTATGCTTTCAGTTGGTTTGTTTTATGAAAAAACATTATGAACGAACCACAAATTTTGCCAGGAATTTGGACTCTCAAAGCTTATAGACAAGCGCTATTCTTCAAATTTACTTCTGTTGTATGACATAGCCTGTCTCATAGCGATTCATTTCATGTATAAATTCATACCATTGTTTGTTTCGAACTAGTTGCTAGTCTTTTTGTATTACGCTTGATTATATTCTTTCATTTGTTCCTAAGCATAATGTATTGATTGTAAGTCTGCCTTAGCATGTGCTGTAAACAGATAATAATATGTCATGCGTTATTTTAAGATGCGTATCATGCTTTTATGCTTATTCCATCACAATTGCAATAAATTTATGCATGGATATCTAGCAAGAATATAATGTACTTGCTTACAACAGTGCTATGATCATCAAACATAACAATCTCAACAGGTGGAGGTAATAATTGTGATTTATTTTATGTTTCCTAAGGAAAGTCATACAAAGCAAGCACTTATTTTGATATTACTGCTTCACTGGTTTCTTTATGATAGTATATGCCTGGCATTCAACCAGTGGTATAATTTGTCATAGAGAGATGCTGAGAGAAGTGTAATAAAAAAAAACTTGCCTCACGGGTTGAGATTGTTATTTATTTTACTTACCAATATATAACATTCCTACCTTTCGTTCTACTCCATTCTGTTTTTTTCAACTATTTTCTCTAATTGACCCAAATTCACAGCGACAACAACAACAACAGCAGCAACAGACTAGTGCTAGTGTGACAAGAGGGGCTAGTGAACCGAAGATGGGACCAATGTACAAACAACAGTCATCTTCTAACAGTCAACATGTATCAAGATCTGAAAGGTGATTATAGTATATTTGTGATAAATGTTTAGAGCACTCACTTGTGTTCCTGGCTATTTTTTCTTTATATTCATATTGTTTCAGTCATTATCACTGTTGTGGAGACTTTATTCATTTATTTTAAAAACTTGAAGTGCCTGGTGTCTTCTGTACCAAATGATGAGAAGATGATTATAGATGAACTTTAATTCTTCTGAAGCTTTATGTTGCTCAATCTTTCATTGTGAAAAAAATCCATGGGCAGTAACCTAATATAAACAGTTTTGACGCCCTATCAAATAACGTCAATATGTAATTGAATGTCAGTCGTATTTTCAGAATATCATTATCTTGCAATGTTGTGTAGTTTCAAAACTTTGTGGTGTTATTGTAAGTTTTAATTATGCTAATCACTATCGACATGGAACTCGGCTCTGGATTCTAATGCCAAGTGAATGGAACTCAAAGTTTAGAGATATGCACTCATCTGGCTACTAGGTTCTTACGAACATTTCTATTATATTGGCTGATCTTTCCAAGTTTGACTCTTGTTTTGTTATCCAGTTCTCCTCAACATCGTTCTCCTGGATCTTCTCAACATCCAAGATCTTCATCATTTAATCACAGAGCTGGAGATCAATATCAGCAACATCACACAACAGTTTCATCTTCGTCATCTGTGAGTTGTTTTGTTCCAAAATTTTATTATTGCTAAATACATTAGTATAGACCCAATAACTACATTTTGCCCAGTTTCAGGGAAGTTGTTCGTTATTGTTGGTCAGTTTGCTACAGTATTGTTTTTTAGGAAATTCACCTTCCCCACCTTCAGTGCCAGTTGTATAGAAAACAAGATAAATAATAAAAAATACAGTATGTGACATTTAATCGCATCTATGTAAAGCGCTCGCCAGGAACTACATAAAGACTGCTTATGGCTTATTTCTCAGCATTGTGAAGCTCTTGTATTAATCTTGTAATTGTACCAATGTTACCACACCAGAACTTTTCCAAAACTAATTCTCTGTATTAGAATAAGAAGATGATTGCAGATACTTCATTCTTTTATATAGATTCATCTGTATTTTCTATCTTGATTATGAAAACGTATAGATGAAAGAAATTTCTGTATTTGTTTGATTTTGACTTTTGTCCATCTATGCTCATAGTCGACAACTACATCTCCTGATCGTCATGGACCCTGGAATATGTCTCAATCTGTACAGTCAAGTTACAACCAGTATGTATCAAGTTCTTCTGTTTCTGCTTCTATGGCAACTTATGATAGAGAAGATTCAGACTCTCGTCTTTCGACAGGTAACGCATTTTTACATTGTAAACTTGTTCAAATTGTCACATAAATTTTGTGGAAAATGAAGAATTATATAATAATATAAAAAATTTAGGATAATTCAATCAGTGATTTGAGTTGATTTCTACACACTAATTATTGATTTCAAGTTTTATTTCTGTTGTGAATTCAATTTTAAAGAAAATCGTATATATAGCATTTAAATTACCTGACTGTATTGATTAATGCTGTTTGCTTGTCTCGTTCACTATCTTCTTGCTATCAGGTAAAAATGAATTCTTTCTGAATTGCCAAATGTCTCGCTTGCTGTTCAATTTTTTAAATTATGGTAACATGAAATTGCTGGAGCGTAAACAGTAATGGGATTCTCTGGCCACTATTTAGCTTTTCGAAAGTTATGTGTTATATTCATGTAAAGTGTATTATATCAATATACATTTCATATTAATGTAGCTACATAGTGACATACATTAGTACAGGGCTACTCAACTGGCGGAACGCGGTCCGAATCCGGACCTTTCGAGTATTTGATTTGGACCGCTCCTAATTCTTTATTTTGAATCATTAGCCTCACTTCTGAGGTTTTCTTTTATAAAATCACCTTTATAGTTTTGAATATATATGAAAAGAACTATAACGCCATATTAAACAATTTTGATTAGCAAATAATCATTAGCCGGCCGAGGAAGTGCGTGTTTAAGGATGCCGAAATATAATTTCTGGAAAGACCGGACCCAAATAATTTTAAAGTTGTGTATGCGGATCTTCGGTAAAATTAGTCTGCATTAGTATTTAGTACATGTAATGTCAAAGTTGTTCTTATCATGCCACGTTCTTATGCTATAGAGCTATGAGTTCAGTGGTTTTCCAAAATGAGGAACCTGTTGTTTGTGAGTTACAAAAGAGAACCTGTTCTTAAAATTTTGAATGCGATCAGTGAGCGAAAATCTTTTTTTTCTAGCCTCCAACAAGAGCTCAGACTTGAGTTTGCCTCCGAGCCCGAGCTCTCATCCCAAAACGACGTATCTTCTGGATTCAGAGTCCGGATCGTGGGATGCCTGATCTTGACCGTCCGTTGTCACATCCTTCAAAACTTTCTCACTCTGCAACTATTGTGTTCCTGTTCTGCTTAATTGCTTTACAACAGAGAATGTCGGTGGTTTTCTGTATTGATACTCTGTACCCATGTCACAAGCCAAGAGGTTGAGTTTTAACCAACAAATTGTATAAATGGTCAGAATACACTCTATAATATTTTAGCGGCAAAGACTAAATCAAGATGTTTGCTACTGAACTGTCAACCCTTAATTCTCAATCTTTGTTCGAATGTGATTTTTCTGTATGAAGTAACGTTTTGCATCAAATATTATTTTGAATTTTCCTCATTTGTAAGGAGCGGATTTGCTAACGGGACTAGAACATGTTATTGTGGGTTGTTGTATAAAGTATATTTGATTAACTTATTGATTTTTCACTTATTGTATAAATAATATACCTATTCTCGCTTGGAAAATTATAAAATGTCTTTTTTGAATGAGACATATATACTTGTATAATTCCTTTTGAGGAAGCTGATTCATACTTTAATTTGCACTAATGTTCGTCATTTCACTTTGCCAAACTGACATCATTAAAATTCTTATTTTTGCGGTTGGCAGCTGTAAGTTTAATTTTTGAGTTTGTTTTTTTCTTTATTTTTTTATGTATCTTACCTTTTTCCATCTGATGATATGGCTGTTACATTGATTTTAAGGCACTATGATGGGTATGTGTGTTTAAATTATTGTTAATAAGTATTTGTAACAAATTTATGAACTATTGGATATTTACATTCTAAATATGTAAAAGCGAAAATATGTAGATTTGAATTTAAACAGCGGTCAATTTCTTAGTGTCAGTCGAAGATTGGCCTTGTGATAATACATAGTAAAATAAGTCATTTTTGGCATTTCATAAATAGGATAAACCTGGACTGGGTAGTGCCTGGCAATCTTGTGTTTTCATCCTGGTTTATTTTTTCTTGGTATGAATATTAGTTTTCAAACCATTTCACAGTGGCACTACTTAAATTAAATCTTCATTGTTTGGTGTGATATTGATATTTGGGTTCGAGATTTGTTAGAAGAATGTCTTGAGTATTGGTTTTCAGAATTGATTTGGTATGGTTATTAACCATAGTTTTGTTTATTTATGTTGGAATCGGTTTGTTGTTACAAGGAATGTTCATGCTTGGTGATGTATTAAACGTTGGTATTTTTGTAGAAAGTTGGGTTGTAAGTGGAAGGTTTTTCCTTATAACGAAATTAATCACTTGTCCAGTTTATTGATCTTCACTTTAAGCTGTTTTACAAATATAATGCATTGAAAAACTCTGTAAAGAAGCACGCTATTTGGAAATGGTGGTTGTAATTTTATGAAAATCTCTGCCTCTGTAACAAATTTCGGATTCATGTTAAGCTGTCCCTTTACTTTTTGTCAAAATAAGATGAATCAAACCTGTCCTGACTCTGCATTTATACTTTTATGCAATAATTCAGTAATGTGAACACAATCCGCCACAGTAAAAGCTTATTTGAAACTTGCAAAAGTATTGCTCAAGGTTGAATAAATTATAAATTAATTTTTATAAGCAATTGAAATAATAAAAACTTGCAAAAAGTGGCAAATTCTGTACTTTTTCATCAATTTTGATTTGTTTATATTCCGTGGGTCACTGAATATGAACCCAAGTTGAAAGTTTTCTCTTTCAGTTTGCCATTCAAGCCAAATATTATAAGAAAGTGTTATTATAAATGACTGTTTAGGTCACCTTAATTCATTCATCTTAAGATATGTAGAGTTTTTTGTTTGTGCTATTTTAAGCTGGTGATTGCATCCCAATGTTTTTAAACAATTAATTCTCTTTTTCTCTTCATATACATGAAATTTAGTTTATTTTGCAAATACAGGATCATATATGAATGTAGCCCTTTCGTATTCGCATTCAATGCAAAATATAGATATTCATCAAAATAAGAATGTTGCCCTAATTTTAAATGCATGTTGCAGATTACTTAATAATTGTTTTCATTTCACAATACTGGGTTCGCTAATTTTTGTATGTCCAGTATAATATAATCAATTTTCCTGTCTTATAGATTGCCCCACCATTATTAGTTCAGTGGCTTGGTTATTCAATAATAACTGATTTTTTCTGTACCTAACAATATTATTTTGGTTTTATAGAAATTCTTTTCTCAAGGAACATAGCAAGCAAGTAAGCAATTGAGTTACTCACTATATAATTTCAGATTTTGTTTCCTTTTTCATAAAATAGTTGGTGATTGTTATTTTTGGCTTATTTTATATTATTTAGACAATCCACAAATTATTTTCATGCATGGACATTATAATTTCTAAACAATTAATATTGACCGATTTTGTCTTGTTTTCAGCCTATTTTTATTCTAGTGTTTCTACCAATAATTTTAATGATATTGTCGTTGTTCACCTTCTTACGCCTGTTAGTATTGTTACCCTTCGATGATGATTATTCTTCTATTACTACTACTATTACAATATTCTTATTATATATATTGTTTTTGTTTTCTTTGTACTAGCTAGAGATCGTTTCACTTGCACACATCTCTTTTTGCTCAAAGACAAATAGTCATCAACATCAATAAAACTAACAATGCTTATGAAGTGTGATGTGGAAATGCGAATAAAATTCCTCTACACGACATACTTTGGGTTATTTTATTGGAGTTCCGTTCAACTGTAAATTACTAGTCACCGGAGGGTTCACGTTTCCAAGGCAGTAAAAGTCTGCAGCGGAAAGTGAAAGAAAGCCGGGATACGCAGTGCTGGTTTGAATAATCACTTAATGTACACCATGTGACAAGTTAGGATGGGTTTGTAGATAGAATCCGATTCGTACAAAGAGATTCGCTGGAAACCCGGGATTCTATAGCTAAATGCCGTGATCAGTTAACGGGAAAAGGTTACGCCAGTTAGTCAGTGTTTCCGTTAGATTTCATTACATGTTATATAAATGTACAAGTAAAAACTTTAATCAACTTGCTTATGCATGTACCGCTTTTTCCGTAGCGTTCTTCGTGACCGCTGTACTTCGTGTAAATGTGTAATCATTCCTTGTTTAGTTGTCTCAGGAGTCTGTTGTTGTTTGCGTTCGATATTAATTATCACAAATGACTTGTGTCTTGGATTCGGGATGAAGGATCATAGCCGGACCTAAAAATATTCGTCTTTACTGGCGATTGCTATGTAGTTGGGTTCGACCCTTGCAAATTAGGAAAAGGCACACCACCCACACGGCCTGTTTGATTATTCCAAACTAACGTACTTTTCTTATATGAAATATTCACACCAATCGGTTGGTTAAGCGTGGGGAATACGCCTTCCATCGCACCTTGATCGCCTCGAATTCCGTGTGGGATAATAAATGCGAGAGGATTGAAGGACTCCTCGCCGCCAAAAAGTAAACGAAGCGAAACGTAAAACTAATATTTATTGCAACGTAAAACTGATATTTATTGCGACTAGAAACTGACAATCATGAGGTATTGTACTACCAGATCATACCTAGACATATTATAATACAATGTCACGACTTCAACACTAGAGATTGCGTCAGATAAATCACTTAGGTACGTGTTCCGAACATGCGAAAGTCGGTCCAAAGTCCATTTCGAGGCGCGTTGCTGGTTAGATTGTGAATTGATTCGATCTTCATTACTTATTCTTTTGTGGTGGTTGATTTTATTTTATCAATTTTGGTAACGAAAGGAGGCGGAAAGTTCCACGTCGAGTTATAGACTATTTTTATAATAAATATAGAAATAGCGCAGTTATTCTAACATGTTTTGTCACCTATCACATGAGCGTAGTTAGGAAGGACATATACAAAAATTGTCGAGCCAGGTCAACTAGAAGTACCTACCGGTACTTGCGGCGTGTACTTCACGAGACCCGCGTTCTACATACAGACATATTGCAATTTACCGTTCAACCAACAAAAATGGGCATGTTTTTTAAGCATACAGTCAGGCAATTTTTCTACTCTTGTGAATCTCATTGATGCAGCCTAGTACTTAAATGTTTGCCATCCTCCGTAATTATAGATATTCATCGTGCTTTAATAATTTGGGTGTATGAAGGTTAAAAAGCAATGCTTTTCAATTCAGGCATTTCATTAAAATTCATTCTCATGGTATTCTTTCAATAATTAATTATTCTTCTTACATTATTGATCTTAGTTAATACCGGTACTACAGTACTATGTTTACTTACATTATATTGTAAAGTACACGACATGGTCGTATTTAAATGTTTATACATTCATGCGATGCAAACTGTCTTAATGTAGGGTAATGGTTAACAAAGTTACCTGTTATATTCAGGGCCGGATTTAGATGATGATAGGCCTTTATGCTATGCCATTTGTGAGGCCCCTTTTTAGCAATGAAGTAATAAAAACCCTCTTCGATTCTTTATGGCCTGGTAAATCTAGCACAACTATTGCATGCCATTACTGCCATATATATGCAAGGCAGTATGTGTTCTAGCTTATTGTAAAGCACTATGAACACATAGCCGTTGTGCGGATATGTTAAGACAAGCTTGTGCTTTGATGCGGTATTTACATATTTATGTTGAACTTCCCATATCTGATTACAGTATTTTTCAAGAGAATTTGCTCAAAGCAAGATAATGCACACTCAAAAATAATAGAGACTCATTTCTCACTTAATAATCAATTAATGTAAACGCTTCCTTTCAATTGATTTGATTAATGTTGACTTAGTACAGAATCCCCCTCCATTTCCTGAGATATTTCAGTTCTGGATGGGTATACATCGGGCTCAGCATATCATTATTGAATTCCCTCCATCCTGTTATGTCAAAAATCATCATTTTGGGGTTAGTTGGGAACTTGATAATCAATCGAGTTGAATTTAATTTTTGTCACACTAACCATTCGAGATTTTCATTTGAATCAAAACATGATAGCATATATCTGGGTTCATTCTACATTGGCAATATGTAACTGAACATTGATATGATATTTTATGATTTGTTTTGATTGTTGGCATGTTTTGTTTAGTATACCCTCAGTATGGTGGCGTCGCATGTTAATCATTAATATAAAGTTCACTGCAATAATTGTTAGTGATGTGTTAGATATTAGTACTAGCTCATGAGGTGACTAGTATTGTATTCTGGATAAGGAAACGCCCAGAGCTTATTTCTGATTATACTTGAGCAATTATGTGTATTTTACAAATTTGATATTTTATTCATCTTAATACCAAATATAACATTCATTTCCAGTTATTAATTTGTTTATACCTTCAATTATTCAATATGCCTGCAGTGCGTCGAAGAACCAATAGATCTGTCAGCATATCGGAGGCTAAACTAAGAGCAAATGAAAATGGCACAGAACATACTGCAAAGACGGAAAACACTAGAATCGTTAAAGAAATGCCACATTATGGTACAAAGATATGTCACGAAGCGAGAGACTCTTTATTTAGCTCGAAAAGTGGCTTCTCTGATTATCGCGGATTTTTGAACCTCTGTGTCATACTTCTTGCTATTAGCAATGCAAGATTATTTCTTGAAAATGTTCTAAAATATGGAATATTGGTTGATCCTTTTCAATGGCTTGCAGCGATTTTCCAAGACCCATATGAGTGGCCAAATGTGTTGTTGATGTGCGCTTCCAATATTTTTATAGTAGTTGCATATTACATAGAGCTAGCTGTTGCCCGAAGCAAAATTTCAAACAGCGTTGGCATAGGGTTCCATGTAATAAATCAATTAGGAGTAGTAGTCCTTCCGCCATTGCAAATATTGATGTTAGAACCTCACCCAATAGGTTCAGTCTTTGCATGTGGTACGTACATCATTGTCTTTGTTAAACTGTGGTCCTATGCACAAGCAAATAGCTGGTATCGGGAAGATTATCTCAAAGCTTCGAATCAAAAAAGAAAACTTCGACGCACAGCTTCAATGCCAGATACAAGGATCGATGAAAAACTGAATCCAGAGGCAATTCAGGTCCAATACCCATACAATTTAACAATAAAAAATTTATACTATTTTATGTGCGCACCAACTCTATGCTATGAATTGAATTATCCACGAAGCATAAAAATACGAAGAGCTTTTCTCTTGAGAAGAATTATAGAAGTGTTGTTTTTACTGCAACTTGAATTAGCTCTTTGTCAGCAATGGATTGTTCCTACTCTACAAAAAGCCATCGCCCCCATACATAAGCTGGAAGGAAGCAGAATGTTGGAAAGACTTCTTCGACTTGCGATACCTAATCACTTTATGTGGCTTATCTTCTTTTACTGGTTTTTCCATTCTGTTCTAAATGTTATTGCCGAAGTTTTACGTTTCGCGGATCGTGAATTTTACCGAGATTGGTGGAATTCAGAAACAATTGTTTATTTCTGGCAAGCATGGAATATACCCGTACACAAATGGTGTACGAGACACGTCTACAAGCCTATTTTAAAATCAGGTGGATCGAAGTTTATCGCACAAGTTGCTGTATTCCTACTATCAGCTTTTTTCCACGAATATATGGTCTCGATTCCTCTTCATGTTTTCCCTTTCTGGGCGTTTATGGGCATGTTAGCTCAAATCCCATTGTCAGCTGTCACATATTGGGTTTCTTCAAGATACTCAGGTCATTATGGTAACATGATGGTATGGTTTTCTCTAATTGTTGGTCAACCAATGGCAATCCTGGCATATGTATACCAGTATTATGTCTTACAGTATGGAGAGGTAGCTGCTGGAACAAACCCCACCACACAAATTGGATCATAAATGTTAACTATATTCCGTATCAGAATACACAGTAATTTTTATATCAAAACGAAGGTGTTGAGTGAATTTTCTGAACGAGAAAACAGCATATGCAGTCAGTTTTTATGATAAAAATTCATTTCCTATACAAATTTGTGTTGATGGTTTTTCATTTACCCTTTTATGTCAATATTGGTTGATCAGGCTCGTTTTACTGATACTTTTTATTTACAAAATTTTTTAATTTTTGTATTTTATCAAAATTATCAATTCAATGAACAATTATGTATTTTTATAATTTTTGCACTGAGTAAACTAGACAATGAATCAAATATTTTTCCAGCTGTTGGTGTGTAAATAGTATAATAGGAATTGTATGGAAGATAATTTAGCAAATGATATTGTTCAAACTTATACTTTATACTATCTGTTTACTAAGACGAAGCACTTTGTTGTGATTTTGGCACAGCAGACAGTATTTTTATTCAATTTTGTTTATAGCAAATTTTGCATCCTGGATATATAACGGTAGGTCCATTTTTTAGTTCAGCAATAGATCAAAATTTTGGTTTGAGCTGAAAAATGGTCATGTTAGCAGTTGACAATGGCCAGTTAGTTCAAAGTTGGCTTCGACATTCAATTCCTGATGAAAAAATCAATCAGCAACAAGTCAAATGTATATTCAAACTTTTTGAATGCTATTTCTTTTGATATACATTGACCCATTATTATTATGACCCAATTCTTATTCAATTATGGTTTTCAAAATGTTCAGAATAAGGAATTTCCATCTCTCGTCTTTCAGAGAATTTATGGATTTTATAATTTAAGATGTTCCTATTATTTGGTATTATCGGCTCAAACATGCTGTGTAGCTTTATGATAAATGTACTACCTTTTATCGTGGATGTCGGGTTTTATCTTAATTTAACACTGTGTTCGACGTAAATAACGCTGGTGTTTTTATTCTGATGTTAATGCAAGTTTTCTTGACTCTATTTTGCGTTATGCCAACCTTTTCCAGGAGGACACTATCAACAAAAAATAAAGACACTATCAACAAAAAATAAATTAAATTGGTTATGCAATCGATGGCTTTTTTAAGATATGGCGAGTCACCGACATGGCAGGAAGAATGATTGCGTTGGTTGCGCTACACTACACAAGCATCTATTATCCTACACTACACAAGCATCTATAAAGTGATAATAGCGAGTTGGTGTTGCATTATTGTGCGCAACAATGTTGACAATGATTCATAAAATCTTAGCATGCGCGCATAACGCACAGGGGCAATTGGGTTAGTGTCACCAAAAGTTCGGAAGAATGTGCAATTCTTCAAGTACATTCACTCTTCCGTGTGCGACTTCCATTGCGAATATCTATTACCGCCGGAGCACTTTTTTTATTACCGGCAGTCGAACTTTTTAGTTATTTATTGAAACTGTTTATAATAAATTTGAAGAACATATATGATATTATAGGTGTATTGGATATTCGTCACAGGTCGTGTTACTAAATGGTTTATCAAAAAACTCGAGTATTGTAAAACCGTACATTTGAACCCATACATTTGCACCCGTATATCCACGGGTTCAATCTATATGAGGGTGCCAAAATCCATGGGTTAGTGTTAGTATGGGCTCAAATATCCGTAAAAATTTTTTTCATAGGTGCAATTGTCGTGGGTTCAAACGTAATGGAACCTACAATAAATAAGGTTTCAATCAATTTTATTTGGTCACTCTGATACAAACAAAACAACAACAAAGGGCAAACGAAATACAGAGGACCTGGAGGACGGGCATAACTTAATAATAAAGTTAAATACGTACAAGTACGTGCCCGTCCCCCCAAAACAGTCAAAACACAATAAAACAAAAACACGAAGTGACATCGGGCAATATCTTATAAATTCAACTTAAAATGTGAGACGTGTATGTGCTTTTCCTACAGATATATGGATTAAAGAACACTCGCTGCCGAAAAATGGTGATGCTGTAGCCTGTAGGCCTAGTTCAATTACGTTGCAAAAGTAACACAGTGACGTTTTTTTTACTAAAAAACAAGCTTGGTAAATGGATTGAATGTTCCATAGCAGTCTATGCACATATCATGGATTGGGGTGTTGGGTTCTTTTGTCGTTTTCGGTTAGTTCAGTTTAAAATCATTGTATCCGTTCCAATGCTTCCAACATCAATATTGAATTTCCACGAACGACCACCATTCAGCCACTCCAACAGGTGCAATGGTCCCATCTTTTCTACGCTCTGTTCCATCATCCACGTGTAGATTCATAAAAGGATCGAAACCTCGCAATATACCCACAACAGATCGTCCACCATTTAACTTTAAATCCAATCTTTTATCCATAAACTTCTTTAAATCCAGTTGATGGGCTTTGCTCATGTTGATATTACGCGATACAGATTACAGCAGGGGTCGGGAACCTTTTTGGTCAAGAGAGCCATAAAATATACATATTTTCAATTGCATTTCCGTGCGAGCCATATAACATTTCTTCAATTAATCAGACCTGAAATGTTTACTCGAAAGTCAACACACACAAAGTCAATATACATTAAATGTGATTTCTGATGCTGCATGTAGGCGCTGCGGGTCTTGAACGGTTGCTCACCTGCAGCCCAATGTGGAAATCTACGATACTCATCACCCTTTTTCGTTTAGACATCTCCGTAGTGTTTTTAAAACTATATCGCTTTGTGATGTCACAATATATGTTCCAGAATCCCCTTGTTTGTCACAATGCCTCTCTAGTAAATATCTTACATAACATAGACATGTGCTGGACGCGTGTTTTGAAACGTATTGGGAATTTCCTGCCAAATTCGGCTATAAAAGAGTTTGGGATCTCGTAACAATAGTAAGCTTAGTCTTAGAATATTAGATTTTTCTGGGAGCCATATGCCGTCACCAAAAGAGCCATATATGGCTCGCGAGCCATGGGTTCCCGACCCCTGGATTACAGATACCGAAACATGCAACGCGTAGCATTCACTAGTCTTTTCCAGTTGACACGTCCGCACCCGACGACGGTCGGACAGGAATGAGGTTTCCTAATAAACTCCCCTTCTGTAACTGGCTTTCGACTTTTGCGATCTTACAGACAATTTTTAACAATGTTTCGAACGTTGTCGGCACTTTTAACAATGCTGCAAAACATGAATTACTTGGCTTGAAACTCAGCTAGCAACGTTCGGATTTTGTTTTTTCTGAGATCTCAACCTGGTAGATATCAGCTTTTTTTGAGGGGGGTGTCTCAAAAATGTCGTGTCCCACATACATCACGACCAACTTGTCAAGCTGGGACTCAATAAAAATTCACGCGAATCACAAATTAAAGCTATGACAACCAAATCATAAATTCTCTCGTCATTAAAATATTTTGTATGCCGGTATTATATCAACTATTTTCACAAATAAGGCGAAAAATTTATTGCAAATGAAAGATACATTACTTTTGCTTGTACGTCAAGATATTCTTCTGCTAAATAAGTCTTCTAATCCATTACTGGTGTATTGCTCGGGGATCTAAAATTTTCTACAGAAACATCGTCGATGGAAGAGCTGGATACAGTCTGGAGAAAAAATCATAATAAGAAAAACACTATTCAACGTTGGTATAATTCGACCAATTATGGTACAGCATAGTTTACATATGGCATGTGACACATTGCTACATATATTAGGAGTGTCAAGTTTCTGGCACGAAAATAATGACTTATATCAAAATGATATTATTTGAACAATGCTTCTTTGGAATAAGTATCTTGAGATTGCGATCATCGTTTTCAAATACCTAGTTTTGTTGAATATTTCCACGTCGTCCATGAAGTTGCGTTGTGACAGATCGAGGTTATTGCATGGGCACGATTTTCAGAATTCTAAGCTATGTCTGATATATATATATATATTTACTGCTTTTATCACTTGCCTTCGATTTCGAATGGAACTCTGAGCTGCTACAGGTGTGGCATATTTCCTCCCGATTCTAACAGACTTGAGTGCCGTTTCATTCCGATCTTCATATTTTTCAGATTTGGTATCAAACGCAATAAATTCATGTTCTGATGTTTAAAATTGTAACTTATCCTTAATATCTACTTTACATAAAGTTAAAACTTCTGATTTTAATTCAATTATAATCCTGTCGAATCCATATGTGTGGCAGCGTATCTGGTGATTTTTCTTCTTGTAGTCGTCAAACAAATCAGGAAAAATATATTGATCATGGTTTTCTGAATGTTATCCGCATGTTCCATACAGCAGAGTAAATCTAGAAATCCTTCGCTTCTGGGCCTTTGCTGGTATAAACGCAAAACGTGGACTGCTTGGGATTTTGATGGTGCGGTATAGTTTGAGGTAATGCCGAGTTGAAATCTGGAAATGATGGGAATTTTCTTTGGGGTGACAATGCTGGTTTTTCCATCCAAGAGAGAGAAATAGACAAATGCAGTAGTTGAAATTATTTATTTGAAGACGTTTTGACAAGTGTCATTTTAATCCTTGATCTGACTGAAGATCAGTAAATCTTCTTTAACCGAGTCTAGCAGACTGATAATCGAGTTTTGAAACGAGCGGAATGTAACTGATGCTTCAGATTTGACCAGACATAGGAGTAGCATGGAAGCGCATCCCGTATGATAAATAAATGCTGGTTGTTGTTCGTTGATTTGGTATCCAACCTGAAACGAGTCGGGATGAGAATTGGACCAACGATCTGAACGATGCGTTTGTGACTTTTCATTATTTATTTTATCAAGAAACTGAGATGAATTTGGAAAACTTGATGGAAGTTTGACAAAGCCTGCGTTTCTAAAGATAGGCACAACTGAACATTGCCTAATAACCTAAAGATTTTTCTATCTGCTTATCTTTTGCGAAGCAGGTGGCTGCAGACTGTGTACGTCGTACGCCCCTCGCAATTGCCTTTAGAGTAAATGTGGTTCCTTAATGTCCAGCAATCCAAAGTTGCGCATAAACGGTTGGATCGGTTGTTTAATTGCTGAACTAGCTGGATAACCAGGGATTCCATACCGTTCTTATTCCTAAGTTTGTCCTTATTTTTGGCTTATTTTTAGCTTGCGTCCTTATTTTTGGCTTGCGTATTCTTATTTTGTCTTATTTGGACTTCATAATAGAAGTTTGTCTTATCGCCAAAGCTTTATTGTGGCAACACAAAAAAGCAAGGCATAGATAGGCATGAAGCATTGTTAGTGTGCCGATCCTTAGGTTTTGTCGTGATGGTGGTTATTTTAGCCTAAATTGAAAAATGAGTAAACGTAAGAACGTTTTTTGTGAGTACGGGATAGAATTCAAAGTTAAACGAAGCTTGAAGGGTAAGTGCTTCGCACACTCTGACGTCTGTAATTGTGACATTTACCTGGAGCCCATAGGAAAGCCAGCTATTTCTGCTCACAATGCAGAAATTTTTCCAGTCGTCCTTATTTTGGGTTCCAGATCGATGGAATCCCTGTGATAACAGTGCACAATCTCACCGTAGCGTGTGGTTGAACTGTTCTCATTGCAAGCTCAAAAAACTTCTCAGTTACGAAAACGTCATCAATGTTGTCAATAAAAGGTAGCGAGGTTGAGTCGTCTTTAGAAGACGTAAAAATTTGTAAGTTGGATAATGTCTTATCACAGGTGATCGATGACGTTGGTCCTTAACAGATGCCCTCCTGTATGAGCAATCTTTCATTTTCTCTTATTCAAACTCATTGAAATCATTAGGACTGGGAATGGTTAATCGGTAACCGATTTTAGACGGTTAACGGTTACGATTACTGACATCTCAGGTACAAATCATCTTTATAATGTACAATTTCTCCAAAAATGATTACGTCATCGCAAATTTTTCTCCCGTGGCTTTTAATTCAAAAGAATATCACTAACTGTATTGGTAAGGACCCGATAAATGTGAAAAATAATTGATGTACCAAGATTGCTGATTGTGAAAATTTGACAATGAGAAATTCTGAATCAGTTTTCGGTCAAATTTCAGAATCAGTTTTACGAATTTATTGCAAAATCGTATATCCAATGTCATCCAACAAGTAAGTGCGCA